GCTGCTTGCGAGACCCTAATGTCACAGGAAGGTCGCGGTTGCTTCCCGGATGGCACCCCGGTGCACGACTGCGTAACCTCCGTAGGTACGTCACCGAGTGTACCGTCCTCTTCCTTGTGCCGTACGTATACCTCATAGGTGACACCGCCTTATACTCAATTTCTATCTTTTACTAAAAGCCAGCCGCCCAAGTATACCTACCTTCCGGGTAGTACGGCCCAGGTCAAAAAACTAGCGTACGTCACGACTCATACGTTCTGTAAACCTTTTAAGGATCTCAATCGATACCCGAATCTCGAGTGCGACGGGTTTAATTTCAAGGGTGTTCCAGGGCAGGATGTAGGCTGTAGCTGACAGGTAGGCGGTATACGACTCACGAGTCACGAGTCACAAGTTCACAACTGCAAATATCCGACGTCACAGTTTGAGGTCTACCGTACATAATACGTCACAAGGACTTTCAACCTTCCCGAGATGTCCCCGCGCTTGTTTCGATTGTGTATATCTTAGATGTCCACAGCTTCCAGGTTCCTTCAATTCTAAGTTTACCACGATAAAGCGTTACGTCAGGAGTCAGGACTCAGGCTCCTTGCCAGCCGATTGCCACCGAAACTTTGTTTGGCTGATGCCGGCACCGGGTACCCTTCGTTTCTGCCGGCTGAGGATTACTTTTCACCGGTTTGTCCGAAGTCCCCGGATTTCGGTGATTTCACCGGGTCTTTGACTCTTTGGACAGTACGTGTGTCAACCAGATCGATAATTTCAGTCAATTTTCCAGCCGGGGATCGACCAGCCGGCTGGGTGCCTTCGCTACCCGCTCCACCACTTACAACACCGGTTCGTGGAGAACACTTGCTCTGAGCGGTCCCGGTCCCAGCCGGGCGCGCGCGCTGGTCACCCCGGGCTCAGCTGACGAAACCAATGTGACCGGTACCTAATACTGTACGTCTATTTAATATTACCTACCCAAACCGGCTGTAACGTTCCAAGTTCATAATCGACCATACGGATTGCACTGTGCAGTACGGAGTGCAGTGTGCAGTGACTGTGCACTGTGCAGCGGCCAGCCGATCACGGGGAGCTGGCGGGGGAGGTTACAATAGATTTATATCCGGTACCTACCGGTGTGTCTGTGGGTATCAAGCAGTCATGACTCATGAGTACCCAGCTTGTCCCTGCGCAACGGTACCTTCAGCAACCTATTTAGATCGCGATTCCTAGACGGTACCTTTCACTTTTAATGGTTACCTTCAAATAGGTAGGGTCTAGAGTCTAGACTCAAGGTACTCGTAGGTACTCACTAGGGAGGTACGGTAGGTATGGTATCTGACGCCATGTTGCCCTGTGCATTCATGCATGCGCGAGCTATACTTGTGCTAACGCGTCAACCTGACGTCTTCTCAAATCATGACGAATCCGTCGAACTTCCGAAGTTACCAAACTTTCAAGACTCGACCCGTACCCTAATATGATATTGTTGTCTGAATGTAGGTATGCCATGGAAGCCTACCAAATAATATGGCCGATCTGTGGCTACGGCGTTTTGAAAAGAGAACATCAAGGTGGATGCATAGTGTTACCTTGTCATTGAGGCTGTGTACATGTAGATCGTACCAAAGAAGCGGGGTGCAGACAATTGCTCTTACCGGACCAACTAATGCATGTGCACGATGATTGTGAATTTTGCGCCCGTCTTCCACATGCATCAGAGGGTACATGTGTGCTCACAGCATCTATGCAAGCGTGAAATTGGCACTCGATGCATGCAGTGGATAAGCACCACCCATAATACCAGGTTGACTGACAGAATGACCCTGAATTCGAGCGACAAATGTTGGAACCTGGGACGCATTTGGCCAGACTTTGGATAATATACACACATGGATCTCGGAGGGCAACAAAAGCTAGCCCTTCGCTCAACTTTCCTCCTTCTTTTTCTTCTTCTTCTTCTCGCTACTGGTTCCCTCCACCCCGGTACCCGCTTCTTCCCCGTCCCCCTTGCTCTTCTTTTTCTTCTTCTCGCTCTTCTCCGCATCCCCCCCATCCTCCTCCTCCACCTTCTTCTTTTTCTTCTTCTCCGTCGAAGCCCCCTCCGGCTCCGGCGACCGGTCCTTCTTCTTCCGCTTCTTTGCGGTCGCCCCTTCCTCATCCCCCCCTGCGGCCTCCGCAGCTGCCTCCACCGCCTCTTCCCCCCCTTTGTCCTTCTTCTTTTTCTTCTTCTTCTCCTCCGTTTTGGGCTCCTCGTCAACATCGCCCTTTGTTGCAACCGGAGTGGCGGCAGCTGCAGAAGACGGAGCAGGACAGTCAAGAATTGTGACGGAACGAACGTTTTCAAGCTTATCAATTTGTGCGGGCGCACAAATCTTATGATTACCAGGTGCGAATACATTTAGCTCGTGAGGGGCGGACTTCCCGCGTTCTTGCGCAAAACTTCCAGACTGGTCAACCAGATGTCGACGACATCCGCATGCGTCACTGTACTGCCAGTCATTAAGTCTGCCGGCTGTGACGTCTCCAAATGGTCACAGCTGGACCTGCCATTCACGTCAAAAAGTTGCGAGCAAAGTCACAAGCGCCTCCATTGGAGTCCAACAAAACGAGCGAGTGACGTCACCTCCCAAATGGAAACGTTCCAAGTCTCCCTCGTTCCCATCGTCAGGAAAGAAGTTCCCGTGCAAATGGAGCCAACCAACCCTCACCAACCACGAAAGCGGACCTCATACAAAGTCTGGATATATTCAGCAGCAAGGCCAAGACCATAAAAACCCACCACCCTGGAATCGCCCCGACACAGGAAGGCCGTCAAAACATCCGACCCTTCCTTGCCCCGCCAAAACAGACACCATGCCCTGACAAAAACGCAGCCCTCCCTGGCCCCTTCCTCTTGATTGTTAGGCATACTGCCAGCGTCATTCTGAGCCAGATCAAACCAACCTCTCTGAATACCTGAGAAAGTTTTGCATGCGGCAAAGATACTCCAAAGTTGAGCTCTTTCTGAATGCGGATCTGAACAGAAAGCAGCCCACAAGCAGGCCCACCTGCGGCCTCTGTGTCGCCCCCCGTCAGCAGCGGCACGTTGCGCATCCACTCCGGGGGGGTCTTCTCGTTCGGCTTCCCGTGCTTGTCGAGCAGCCCCTCGGCGATGAGCTTCTTCTTGCTCTGGGCGGTGGGGCCAAGGCCCCATTTGCGGGGGTAGGTGTCTCGCTCCATCACCACCCGCTTCACTTTCGCCACTACCCCGTGGTCACACGTGGCCATGACAGCTGTCGTCATCTGGGCGACGCCGAGCGCGATCGCCTCGCCCTTGGTGGTCATCAGGACCACCTCCTCGTTCACCTCGATGCCCGACTCGTACCTGAGAAGAACGGGGGTGAGAGGGCTCAGTAAAGAGCGGGGGCTAAGGCATAGATAAGCGGAAGGGAAAGTCTGCACCACAAGGGGACGAACTGGACCTCAACACTCAACTCTGAAATTGTTAGAACTACCGACGGAGAATAGAGCAAGTCCGAGATAAGGGGGGCCAAATCCGAAGCATGCTGCCACAGCTTTTCAACACAGCATCGTGGCCTAAGGGACCGGGGTGGCTGAGAAAGAGGCTGAACAGAGCAACTCGCAGAGTGTTGCCAGCTTGGAGCTGAGCTGCTGGCGAAAAGAGAGAGGCCGATGGGCGATAGCCATGTTCAAGACACATGGACGTAAGGAAGAAATGTAAGCAAACGTTACCAAGGAATCGAAATTTAGGCAACAAGTTGGATGAAAGGTTGGGAGGTCCGTTTGCAATCGAGACAGGTTCCACAAGAAGCGCAAAAACACCTGGAATATGCAAGAATACATTGGACAGACCTTGCATAGAACGGGCCTCCACCAGACACTCAGAATTACAAGCATCCTCAGAGAGGCAGGTGCAGAAGGTCGAAAGCTGGCGGAGGTGAAGTGGGCAACAAAAGCTTGGGAGGGTGTAAGCCCAGTATAAAAAGCAGGGGAGAAGCGCCGGATCTTGAAGGACTAGTCTGAGCTTCGATCATGGGGCGGAGGGACCGAAGCGGCCATATTTCGCTGGAAGCAACTGGAGAATAAAATCAACTTTAGGTGTGGCGCAGTCCAGATCAAACTTAGGAGGGATGGAAATAATGACGGAAATGAATGCCTCACCTAAGCAGCCCCGGGATCATGAGCTTTGCCCCATAGCAGATGGCGTTCACTGCGCTGTCCTTGACCACGATCCGCTTGTAGCTGGTCAGCAGGATCTCCAGAGGGGAGATGACGCGCCGCAGGTATGCCTCATCTGTGATAGGCATAAGCGGGGCAGCGCAGTGAGACAAGTGGATCCCACTGAAAGAAAGAGGATGAAAAAAATAGTGTAGCGATGATTCTAGTCCAGGTTCACTTCTTCCAGAGAAGCAGACAGGACCTGTGGAAAGAGCGAGGTGGTGCTTATAGGGAGGGTGTCTGAATGTGGCACGTAATGATGAAGTGGCAGTCAAAGTCTTGAAGGTGATCATTCCAGATAATCAGAGATGGTAACCAACTCTGGGGAAGATATTGAAAGATGTGGCTACGTAGCCTTGAACCATTGGGAGGCGCTCTTTCAAAAACTCTCAAACAAAGCCTGGTGAGGCAGATCAAACCCATAAGGAGCGGAGGCTGACACAGGCCGCCTTGTCTGCGCAACTGAGTAAGGGCAGCTGCCAGCCCAAAAAGCTTGCTTCAAAGGAACTCGTGGGAACCTCGAACATTCGTAAGTGCCCACCAACTCGAAGCAAGTGCGCTGTCATTAAAAACCTGTCCTGAAGGCCCATCAAGTGACAACTGTGCACTGATTTGTGAGCGGTCAAAAGGTGACCTGACGGTCGTGCAACCGAGTTAGCTGTGCACCATTTGCCGTTTCTATCCATCTGCTTGAACGGCAGCTGACAGCAAAAACTGGGGCCCACCTTCTACTCCAAGTTCACACTGCAATATTGCCCGCCAACTCTAGAATTACAAGCTTTGAGTAGAAAGAATGACCGTCCGCACCACTCAGACCGATTGGCGTGTTGAAGCGTGGGGTGCCGCTCTCATGTATCATTACTGAGGTGGAAGGACGTTGAGTCCTGGAAACTCTACCAGCAGAGAAGTGGACTTCCGCGGCTTATTGTTGCCACTCAATGTGAAGACTCAGGGGCTTGAACTACCAAGACCTACGTTCTCAGCAATGTCCCAGCATTGCCAATCAGATTTGCTAGGGAAGACCTAAGCTTTGACTATATTAAACTTTCAAAATGGACACTGGCGGCGCTTACACAATGGGTGCCAACAATGGGTGCCAAACAAGCGAAACACCTTCGAATGCTCTGCATGATTTGCAGTATCCAACAAGGTACTGGTTTGCACTCCGTCAAGGAACCCAACACCGAATCTGGCCCCGAGAAGAACTTTGAAAGCCAGAAAGTGCCAACAAGTTCAAGCTCCCCAGGTCCAGCATTGCCCAAGCAGGCAACACAATCACAGTTTGTACAGTCACAAAACACCGAACTTCAAAAAACCCAAAATGAAGACTTTGCATATGTCCGCCAACAATGCAGTGGCCTACAGACCGGTGCACCTTTTTCCAACTAGTGCCTCTTCAGTGCCCCTCAACCCCAGCGGCATGGAAACAAACCTCAGCAATGTCCACAACCATTACCGCCCATCCAAAACCATTCCCGTGTACCCACCTTTGTAGTTGTCATACTGCCACTGCGCATCGAGCACGTCGTGCATCGTTACCAGATTGTCCTGCTCCCCCAGGATCCCGCTCCGCACTCTCCGGAGCTCCTGCATATGCCCGCCCACCCCTAGCAGCAGCCCCAAGTGCACGCACAGCGTCCGGATGTACGTCCCCGCCTCGCACGACACCCAGAACACGACCAGCTGCCGCTCCGCATCGTACTCCAACAGCTTGCTCTTGTAGATCGTCCGAATGCGCAGCTGCCGCTTGACGGCTGAGATGAGCGGCGGGCGCTGGAACAGCGCGCCCGTCAGCGTCTCGATTGCCCGCGCCACCTTGGCGACGTCGTCCACCGCAGAGTGGAGCCGTGCAACGCACACGTACTCCTTCCCGGCGCCCTGCTGCGCCTTCACGAGCCGCGTCGCGCGGTCGATGCACACGACCAGGCTGCCCGTCACCTTCGGGTCAAGCGTCCCGCTGTGCCCGGTTTTATCTACCCGCAGAATCCGCCGGATCCACGCGACCACCTCGTGCGACGACGGGTTCGCTGGCTTGTCGAGGTTTATCACCCCGTACCTTACATAGTCGTAGAGAGGCCGCTTGAGCGGCGAGAAACCGGTGGGGATTGGCGTGTAATGCCCGGTGCGCACGTTCAGCTTGTCGTAGTTCTTGAGCAATATGGGCCACTTTGACGTGTCGAGCTTGGCGGTAATGTTCTCGGGTTTGATAAGGAAGTCAGTCGAGAGCTGTGCATTGCCCGCTGCCGCGTCTGCAAGCACCCCATTTGCCTCCGGAGCGGCCTCCTCCGGCTCAGACTTCGCTTTGCTTTTCTTCTTCTTCTTCTCAGACTTCTCAACAGACGACATTGTGGCTAGGGGCGATACGGACAAGGACACCGCCTGTCAATGTGACTGAATTGCTTAATGCTGCTTAGCCCAATGTGTAGGATAAGTGACCGTGGCGGAACACGAAGAAGGAAGACAGGCACGAAAATTGGGCAGAAAGTGCGCCCTGGAATTTGGATGCCCCCACGCAGGCGGCAATGCCACCAAACTGCCAAAACTTCCGACTCCAACTTAGGTTGGCATTGAATGCTTCCTGACTTCCTGTAGGTACTCCAATGTGGCTCTGAATAATGACCCACCCTAGTTGTAGCCGCGTGGCGTGACTTGGGCAATATTACAAGTCTATGATGCAAGAGTTGAAGAGTTGCAAGACGGTTCAATGAAAGGAGCGAGAGAGCGAGTATTAGGAGCCAGGCATTCAATGCAAACACTGTTGCAGACGGTAGCCTGACCATCAATCAACACACCACATGTGTATGCCATGACGCATGAGAAGCCTATGGCCTACCTATTTGGCTACGGGGGAACGGGGGGCGGGCGGGGGGCACACGGGGGGGCTACGGCGAATACGAACAGAGACCATCGAGTTTTGCGAGTATATCCATTCAACATTGAGGTCCAATGATGTGCAGTGTGCAGAATTCCATAACCAAGAACCAGGACGGTCCGTGATGTTTAGCTAGGAATCAGAGCCCCCCTTAAATTTAGGAACAATTCCCAAACTCTGAAACTCGAAGCTCGATGGCGAAGATCAAGGGGGAATCAAATTCCTCTGCAGGCGGGCTCGGATCAACTACAGCAGGTCGGGAATCTACACAACCGTCACTTGAGCAGGTTGCACATGCACGGTCTGGCAGCGAGCCATTCCGGCTGTTGTCGTGGTGTTTGGGACCACGTTCAGTCCGTAAAAACATCGGATATTGCATGCCATTCAAGCCTGCTGCCGCGCTGCATGTACTCCTCATTGTGAGATGACATACCTTGCCATAGCTGACCTAAGGCTTCGTATAGTAGTGTCCTCTTTAACATGACACCACAACGTGTCTTGAAGAAGGGCAGCTAGCAACAAATCTTGTGCGAACGGGCGTTACTTGGCAGCCGCAATGAAGTCTCACGTTTGCAAGCAGCAAGTTTCAAACGGACCTTGGTGAAGCCTCAAGATGCAGAAAGAACGAACTCTGCATAACGTTCCATCCACGTTCCATCATGGCCACATAATACTTGTTCTAGCAAATGCCACGTTGAAGCGCCTTCACAACTGTTGATGGCTTTGGCCTTGAATAGAAAAGGACCAATTTGCGACCGGTCTTTTATGTGCCTAGAATAGAGAACTAAAAGTCAATCGTAAAGATGCTCTTTATGATGGTCCAAGTGCATGCAAGCAGAGCTTAGAAGCACGCACAAACTCTTCTACTTTGGAACAGTTCCCGCTCATTTCTTGACACCTTCGATCCAGAAACGTTGAAAGTGTCAAAATGGGTAGTGGACCCAGAAAGTTCGAAACAGCTTCTCGATACTGACTTACACCTTCCAATTCAGGAACGTTGAGGTTTCAGAATGGGTAGTGGACCCAAAACATCTGACTGACTACATTAACTTCTTGAGCGGCCTACCTTTGAGCTCGTCGGTCTTGTGAAACTCAGCAACTGTTACTTGGTAGATGGCAACGGGGATGAGAACACCAAACAAGGCAATCCTTGACAAGGAACGCCCATTGAACTTGAAAACTTTCTCGATGTTCTCGCGCTTTGTGGCCCACTCCTCGATGTACTTGTTCTGGTGAACGTCCATCCCGCCCCCTGCCATTGTGCCTCTCTTTTTCGCTTTTACGGGAGCTGATCAACGGCCACAGGACTGCAGCTGGAAATCAGGACGCTTTAGGAACGAAAAGAGTGGTGTTCACGAGAGTCGCCTCTGAAGAATCACAAGAGAACCATGAAACACGAACAACATTGGGCCCTTGCTATCACTTTCAAGTTTGCTGGACTGCACGAGGAGTGCAACACGGACGCAGTGTGGAGCTCGTGAACATCCTCGGAACAGACACGTTTGCAGGACCTTCCGTCGTTGGCTCCTTGCTTCGCTGCCAACTGGGGTGAAAACTCACACATCTGCTTCCACAAGTGGTGTGTGCAGACACCAGCTGCAACTGAAACCAAGAGTACACTCCAAGCAAGTTCTGGACTTGCGCAAGCCGCCACTGACTAGACGGCATCCAAAACCAAGCCACGACACAAATAGAGGCATCCTGAAGAACTTCCTTCCAATTCGACTGCCAAAAGAACCGACCACCACAAAAAAAATCACATGTCATATCAAATCAAATGGTGCGGAGTTCCCCACCTTTATCGAGCTTAGGACCGCTCCTGCTCGTTCAGCTTCTGTTCAGGCTTTGGAACCTGCACCACATGAGAGTAGGTCACGTGTACTCGCTGACTCAATGTCAACAGAGTCACTCTGCAGGGCTGAGGATCAAATGGCTAGCGAAAGCTTTCCTCCCATCATCCGGGCCGCAACTGATCCACCGAAAGTGGACAAAACATAAGGCTTTGCATCACTCACATGCGCGCCTGCTTAGGCAAGTCTTCCAGCTGGGACCCTGTCAATTCAAACTTTGGCCCTCAATCCATCTCTTGGCCGACCCCAATCAGGGAGGCTTGATCAAGGAACACTCAGCGCGCTTAACTAAGCCTGGTTAAGTGGCCAGTACTTCCCTTCAATGGCTCTTCCGAAACTACCAATGTCTTGGTCAGTATCAACAGTTGTTGCATCAGAAGAGAAGAAGACACTAGTTCAATAAGGTCGCGGACTCACTGCAGCGTGGTATGAGAGGCCACTGATGACGTTGACAATCAGGCCCGCCCCCAAAGCAATAGTTGCCACTCCCAGCCCCGCAGTTACAGAACGGAAAGCGAAGTCAATAGCCTTCATCTGCGGATGCGGAAGAGATTTAAGTCCAATCGATGAGCAGGCTGCGTACAGCAGCTCCGCTGTGTAGGGATAGCCGCTGATAGAGGCAACGGCAAGCTGCAAATCTCCAGTGATTCCTTAACCCCAGTAATTCCTTAAACCGCGTTTGCAAGATTCAACTGAAGATTGCGCAGGTTCCTCACATAGCTTTTACGCACAGGTCTCCTGAAACTATTGCTTAGAGTAGAGTTGAGGGTGAGTCAATGTGCACGAATGCTGTGTATATGACCCAAATACAAGTAGCGTCCTTCCACAGGCATGTGTGCATTCAAAATGATGTTTAGGGTTTTCATAGAAGCATAGCTTATGTAGAAAGTTTACCGTCTCAGTTTAGCCGCTGAAGATGATGTGACACAACAGAGGTCCCCGAGCAGATACCTTATCCACTTATATCAATGTGGTGATCAACAGTGAACTATTGCAAGAACCCAGATCCTTCCATCGATCATACTATTGTGTATGATTGACCACTCGACGACGAGTGGTACGAGAGCTGACACAATCACTGACAAGGTGTCTGCTTATCAAAAGAGACAAGGTGATTGTCCGCAACGCCTCACATGACCTGAATCAATGGCACGGTGAGGAGAAGCCCAAAGAGGTTATTTTCAAAACATGTCTCATTAGGACACCGTGTGCTTCAAACAAAACCCCGCCTAGGACGAAGCGCTTACTCAAATTGCTCATCAAAAGTAGTAGAGGGCGTACCTGGCTGGGCCTAACCCGTTAATATCCGAGGCAGCACTCAGCAACTCTCTATTCCTCCTGCAGAAGATTCAGCTTTCAATTTTCGCGGCGCCTCCGTCCTTCCTCCTCAGGCTCAGGCTCCTGTGCTCTGCACCAGTCTGATCTGTACTGTGCAGATCTTGCTGAGATTCAGAATAAATCACGATTTTAATAGGGCCGATGCGCTATGGTCACGGTCCAACTGGCTATCGCAGTTGAGTAGGCCGGTCGAAAGCTTCTTTCTAGAGCGCGTATTGGTCCCTGAATATATCTGCATTTTGAGTGACTCGAATTTCCCCGAATTTCCCTGTCCTAGGTACCTAACTTGCTCCTTGGTCCTTGCTCAGCTGCTTGCTCTGCATAGTACATTGCCCACGCAGGCTAGGTATGTTCATCTGCCTCGGAAAGCTGTCACTGTCAGGCGCTTGCTACTTGGACTTTAAAAGATGTATATGAGCGCTTAGGTACAACCAATCCCTTCAAACAAATCTGCTTTCACGAGACATCCAGTGCTATGATTGCCCTAAGTCCCGCTCCAACTGCCACAGCATTGCAAAAAATCACCGCCGTCGCAAAACCAATTGGTTCCCGGCTGCTGACGTACGCAAATGCAGGTGGCCTAGGGATTGCGGTCATCCCCAACCAGTGTCTAGCAATCAGAACTGGGATCCAGCTTGTTGACTCTGACATCCGAGGCACTTCTTCAAGTTTGGATGAACACGCTATCAAGCAATATACTTCGCACTTGACGTCCAAGCGAAAAGGTCAGCCGCTTGGCGTGCATTTGTGAATGCGGGAGGTCAGTTTGCCTGTTTGTTTTGAAGGTTTCTGGGCCTTTGATCCTTACTTGCTCAAAGGAGCTAACACTGCCAAACTTTGTGCCACCAAGGCAGCAGTGGGCAGAACAAGAGAGTTACTGTCAAGAATGTCTCACTAGACAACCGCTTCAAGTAGTCAAATCTTAGAGAGGGCACAATATAGCCCCAGCTGCCTGTAGAGACATCTGTGTGACTTCTCCTTCATGATGGCATTCAACGGATCGTGTACTTCATGACTCCTCAACTGCCCCTTGTTACTTCCCTGTAGTTTTGTTTCCATTACTTTGCCCGTAGAATTGTTGAGTTTAGAAATGTCCCAATGAGATAATTACTCAAGAGGCGCACCGTCTGTTACTGCCAGCTTGTGGGGGCACTTGCTGCTTCAGAGCCACTCCTTGCAGTACTGTACTGAGGAGAGCGGTGGCCACAAGAGCTAGTCAACAAGGATCGGGGGCCATGGAGTCAATAAAGGTGGAACCTGGGAAAACGCGGGTCGGGTGAGCAGCAGTCTGTGTCCTGATGACTGTTGCTCCTCTCTTGTTGGGGCCAAGCTTCAAAGTAAGAAGCTGATCAAGGGGCTCATAGACGCCCTGAAAATCATGCTGATGAATTGGAGGATGAACAGACGGACCTAGGATGCACCTGTTGTGAACTGGTCAGCGAATCCTCGGTCCTCCTCAGTGTTCATGGCTCTAAACGGCTCTTTTTGCACAGGTTACTCTTGAGAGCCAGAGAGCCTTGGTGAACCAATTGGTCAAAGGTAGCATTCTCAAGGTAGCCAGTGATTCATATTTAGGCTCTTGCTTGAGGACTTGTGTGAATGTCACACAGGATTGGAGCTTGTCCGGAGTTAATTTGAAGAAGTCAATTTCAAATTTTACACAGGAACGGAGCTTGTGTGGAGTCGTTTTGAAAAAGTAAACTCAAGTCCACCAGTTAGTCAAGGCGTATTCACATTTCCAACATCACGGAGCCAGATGAAACTCTTGCAGGTGGATAGGCACGGGTGTCATGGGAGCGGCCATGTGCGGGCATATCATGGACGCTGGTTTCTCAATGACAGTCTACAACCGTACAATCAGGTACGCTTGGTCGGTTCGTTGGCTACTTGAAACTTCCAACATATCAACGTTTCATAGCAGCCGTTCTGCAGTTCCAGAGAGCGCAAGTTGTCTGGTCCGTTTTGCCTCGAGGAAAGTCAAAGGAGCGCGGCAGTATCCGCAACTGAGCAAGAAGTGAACAAGGATTACTCAAATGTATCATGGTAATAAAAATAATGGCACATTTCTTGGATCATTCGGTGGAAGTACGGCACTATGACAGTCTCCTAAACGTATTCTCTTCAGCATGCAGCAAGGCAGACGGACTGAAAGCCAGGGGCGCAGTTGTTGCGGAGTCGCCAAAGCAGGTGGGAGAGCAGAGCGACGTCGTATTCAGCATCGTGGGGTGAGCTGCGATGCAACAGGCGAGTCTGTATGATGTTGAATGTTTGTGTGTGTTGCTGGCGTACGGCAAACTCTCAATGCGCAAAGATATGCTCCCAAAACTCTGTCGTTAAGCAAGTCACTTCTTTCACAAGAAGCATGCAAAATGCAATTTTCTGCATCGCGGAAGCCAGGGTAGATGCATAGCAGGCCAATATTGAAGCGGCTTCCCTAGGGCTTTCATATCGCCTTTCACGTGGCCAATCGGTTGTGATGTCCATCTGTCTCTTCCCTGCAACGTTTGTTCTGGACCGCCGAGTTGCCATTTGCATGCCAGAATGACCTGCTTTTCTTGCCGTGCAGATTCCCTGCTGACGTCAGGCAGGTCATTCTGGGTGAGAGCGGCGTGCTTGCAGGGCTCAAGCCGGGTGGCGTCGTAAGTAGTCAGTCCTCGTGATCGGTTTTGCTGCTAAGTTTTTATTAGAATCGAATGATCGCTTCGAGCCATTTGAAAGTACCAGATATGTTGGTCCAAGTTGGTGTTCCATCTCAGCATGGCCACTCGGATACTCGCGACTGCAAATAGACCTTGTGTATCCTTTGGAAATATTGAGCGATTGTACTTGCACAGGATGTTCTCTCTTGAGCGACAAATCACCCAGTTGCGACTCATCATCTCAAATCGAGACGGCTTCGAGCAGGATCGTGTCCAGTCCTGACGCCCCGACCCTCAGATTGAGACTTTCAACGGCTTGAGGCATCTCCTACTCACAAAAGCTGTTGGATTCGAGTGCTCTCAAAAAGAAACAGTATGATGTTCTGCAATGGCCGGAGTCTAGTTCTCTGGGCTGCACGTAGGTTGCCCTCCAGCGCACGTTTCACTGTACCTGCAACCCGATCCTTGTACTCTTGCGCCCGCAGATCGTGGACATGACGACGAGCGAGCCGTCGCTGTCGAGGGAGATTTTCGAAGCAGCGCAGGCAAAGTAAGGAAACTTGTTCCTAGAGATACAGGCTGAGACTTTCCAAGCTGGCCAGATGTCGTCGAGCCAATTTTTACTTGCAGGCCCTTTCTGTTGTCCAAACAGCCTCCTGCTAAGTTGCGTCCGTTGACAGGGCCAGAGGTCCATCAACTCAGTGTGGGGTGAAGAAGCATCAAAAGCCCGCGCATATGCTACTTTCGACTAGACACATAGCAGGTGTATTTCGATCGAACTCAGTTGCTGTAAATGAGATTGCTCGCTCTACAAGCCTTCATCCACAGTCCCTTTTGACATCGTAAATGGGGTAGAAACACTCTCCGGCTTTGAAGGCTTTTGGACTCCAGAGGACTATACCTTCCCCGTGCAGGCGTCAACCAATACGCTTCTCAGTAAGGATCATTTTTTGGATAACGAGCGATTTTGATTGTAAACGGTGTCCGTGTCTTCGCAGGGGTTGCAACGCGGTCGATGCCCCAGTGTCTGGCGGAGACAAGGGCGCAAAAGCCGCGAAGCTGGCCATCATGGCGGGAGGGCGGGAAGAAACGGTACGAGACACGTTTCAATCTTAAGCGAGGCCACGTGCCATTAGCGAGTGCCTTCGGCACTCTGTGTGAATTACCCTTTTCGGTTTTTCTCAGCATACCGCAGGATACCGTCCATTCCCAACCCCGTTCCCCTTTCCGTTTCCGTTACTACTTTCAGGGCTTGGTGCATGCTGAGTAGAAGCCAGAAGGGCAGAGGAAGCTCGGAAGACCAGTTTTGCGCTTCCTTCTCGGTCGAGCATACTCACGCGGAACCGTCGATAGTTCATTTCTGCTACCTCCGGGTTTTAGCAGCGAAGCTGATTTGTCTCGGGAATCGTCTTCAGTATTTGCAAACAAGATCTATGCTCGATTGAGAGGAGTCCTTTCGTGCGCGGCGAAAGCCAGAAGTTCCGCCCGTGCTTCCATAGGCTTCGACAGCGAGTCTGTTCCGCTGGCCGTCACGGCCGCCGGGGACTGCTGTTGTCCCTCGTCAGAAAACCGACAAACCATCTTCTTGTTCCTTGTTCAACTCACTTTTTTAAGCACGAAGTCGCTACTTTGAACCAAAAACGCACGATCTTGGATGCTGTTTTCTTAGTGTGAGGCCAGGTAGTACTGGGACTTGGACGCCTTCGATTCTATGATACTATCGATGGGGGCAATAAGTGACACTTGCAAAGCACGCCGCTTCGACTTGGTCGCTCCCTCGCCTTGAAAACTAGTACAATCTGATTCTGCTCTTAATGCATGACGGTTTTTTGAGCCCTATTTTGCCAGGTGGGGGTTCAAAGGTGCTCAACATTGTAGGTTTCAAGACCAGACGCTCTGCTTGGAGTTGTGGACGTTCCAACGTGGTGATGCCATGAACCAAGGCGATAGTCTCGAACACCCCAAGTTGCAGTTATCCAGTCTCTACCAACTTCCTTCAGAACAAAACACATCCCTCCTGGTTGTACTTCACAGGTTGCGGCACTGGCCCCTCTGCTGAACGCGATGGGTAACACCACGTACATGGGCCCCGCTGGGAACGGGCAGCACTGCAAAATGGCGAACCAGATTACGATCGCGTCTACCATGGTGGGAATGGTTGAGGTAAGTCACAGACACGCCTTTCAGGAGCGAAAACATGTGGAATAACTTGGTAAAGTCATGGTGCCGACGGAATCGGCGGTCAAGCGTTGCACGTGGCCAGCTGAAGCTCTGACGTCGGCGGGGCTCGAGGCGACGGCCTTGATTTTGGGGTAGGATTTCTTTGGTTGGTAAGAGACGCTAATGTGCGGTCCTTGTCTGTCTTCTCAAGTCTCTTGCTGAAACATGTGGAAAATGAGCACAAATGCAAGGTTAGGTGGAGTCGATCTGAACTCACTGATGACTCACTCCGACCGTTTTCAGGGGATGTTGTACGCGCACAAAGCGGGCCTGGACGTCCCGACGTAAGCCGTCGATTCGCCCCTCTTAAGCTGTGCTTCTGTCAAAGTCTTCCCATCAAACTAAACGTGGCCTGACGGTGCTGCGATTACGTTCAGTTCAGCACGAACAGAAGACAGCTGGTTTCCGTGAGAGTCGTGCCTTGGTAGACGGGTAAAAGACTTGACATCCGATTGGCTTTCGAACGTTTTGATATGGGGAACTCCAAAAAGCCGAACTTCCCTACGGAAGTAATTATTGATCTTGATCAATTTGGTCGCATCCGGGTGCGACTGCACGGAGTCTCTTTCTGCAGATGCGGCCAGCGTCTTAAAATCCTTTCCGCCCGTGAGCGGCAGCTTTCTGGTTGTTATTTGTGTGATGCCGGGGAAGCCAGGGCTGTGCTTGACGATTCACCGTCATTTGTCTATTGATCGGGCATCGTCAAGCTTGAATACGGTACCCCAAAACTGGCAAGACTGGCCAAAAATGTCTGCAAAACGTCGCGTCATCGAGGAGTGCAGGTTAACCAGTGCTTAATGCAAACCCGGTTTCGTTTGCATCATGCGCAGGTACTTGCGGGCCATCTCTAGCGGCGCTGCCGCGTCTAAGTCATTAGAGCTCTACTCGCAACGCATCCTGCAACGGGATTTCGATCCAGGTAATCAAACCCCGAAGGTCTGCCATACCAATCCGATACTGGCTGGCTGCACATGGTAAAGTGTTTCAAGGCTGATTGGGGTTTTGGTCTAGCGCTCCGGCATATGTGGACCAAGATGGGCCGAAACCGGTCGGGTCTTCCCCATTGTTGGCGGGCCCAGCAGGCTCGAGCGTATCACGTCGTGGAAGCAACTAATGGCAGAATGAAACCTCGGAGGACAATCTATCGACTGCCTTGGTTTTCGTTGGCGGTTGATCATTCCACCGCTTTTATTTAAGTGTCTGGAAGTCATTCGCTTAGGTCCTCACTACGACTGTGTCTGTTCATTCTGATACCAACGTACTCGCATGTTCAGAGGGGCACGAAGTTCGAAACTCGACTCTTGCATGCATCATCAGAGAGCCAAGTCAGCGGTCAGCGAACTTGGTGTGTCGCAACCCGTCCAGTTTTGCAGTTTCGGCCGCTTTTGCGATCGCCTGGGCTGCATCCTCATTGGCGACCGTTTGTGCCCTTTGCAGGCTTCTTCGTCGCCCACTTTGTGAAGGACCTTGGGATTGCCCTGAACGAGTGCCAGAGGATGGGTTTGTCGCTACCGGGCTTAGCACTGGTGAGGGCCTTTAAATCTGGTCTAGAGCAGGTATCTTGGTCTTGCAGAGTCCTTAACCTCGTCCTTACCAGTCTGCTTCGAGAAAGCAAGGCCCTCAGTAGCCATGTGAGTTCGTTCAATGCCACGAATCAGATGCGGTGGTCCCACTGGGCCTATCCATGGCGTCCCCTTAACGTTCAAAGGAAGACAGTCAGTAAGAGGTCACTTCTACCTGCTTCTTCGTGGATCGTGAGAGAGGGCGTCTTTTGCTTATGCTTCTGAGGAAGATGGAAGAAGTCGTTGAGACATTGAAAGGAGTAGATCCGTGTCGGTAACTTGTTTGTCGATGACCTCCTCATGCATCTTCCAATCATCACGTCTTGTGATACCTTTTTATCCAAGTGGTGTGTACGAAACACCACTGATGTCGGTCCAACATTGTCCGCAGGCCCAATCACTTTATGTGTCTCTGAAGGCCCATGAAGAAAGCAATTTAGGGACGCAAGCGCTTGTCTTGGCCCTAGAGAGGCTAAATAACACCAAGCTTCCTACTATCAGCTAGGCGCGCAATGTTCTTTTCCAGATCTTTTGGCAGGTAAGTCAATGACTTTAGGTACATAGTGCATTGAAGAAGCCGATTAGATGGGTGAAAGTAGACGGCCTCACCGTTGGCAAAAGGAGGTCCAACATTCGTCAGGCGCAGTCATTGACTTGTGGTATAATCTTGAGCTTTCACGCCACAATGCACTCGCTGACATGACAATAGCAGCTACAGTGAAGCAATCCAGATTCGTGAATGAATACATAACACAAAAACAGGTGGCGTGGCGACATTCTGAACGGATCGCCATACTCGGTGTCTGGCATGGATGTGTGACAATTTGCAATTCTGAAATTAAGCCGCATGCATGATCGAGGGTGATGCTTCGATCCTGCAATCACCGCACATCAATGCCATAGGCTCAGCTGAACCACAACAGAACATGTCCTTGTGTACACTTGGCAAGTCATTCTGGATGCGAAGGCTGAAGTGTTATGCTCAAGATTGATCAAAAGAGGGACAGAGTGGCGGAAATGTCTTCCAGAGAAAGCGTGAGGTATACCTACTTCTTTAGACATCACCACACGTCCTACGTCCATGAAGGCTGCAACTTTGTCAAAGAAAGTCCTTGGGAAAGTATTTCCAATACACAAGATTCATTCTCGTGGGGGTGAAGACAGAAAATGGGACGCAGAAACAGTATGTCCAGAGAAACGGTCAAAAGATTGACATGCTCATGGCAACGGAATAATGAAGCCTGGACAAAACAGCTTGTTTGCAAGTGCAATCTGAAGGACCCCTTAGACAGGGGACATGTCTTCTGTCCAGTACTCTGTCAACTTGAGTAAAGAAGGAACACTTCCTTTGAACAATTTGACAAAACTGCTGACAACCACTGTCAAAATTACAGCCCCGTTGGAAGGTTATCTTTCCGACACATGATCCTACTCTCGCTTCAAGTTTTCTGCTTATTCATCTGAACTCAGATGGCAAACCATCCGCAAAAATGTGCGTTCCAGTTTGCAACCACCACCCTCTAGTCTTGACATAACTGAGGTAATCCACCCACACCGTTTGTAGCTCAATGCCTATGGTACAATCTTATCTTCCTGGAACAACAGCCCTCTCTAGATAAATTACAATCCTAAGCTGAGGCTGTTCAACCGCTACCCCTAGCGCACTCAGACCACCCTTCTGCCCCTTCCTTGAGAAACGCTCTAATGATCTAAACAGTTATCTCTCTGAATGTGCCTCGTATCTGACGGTCAAAGCTATTTCAGCTGTCTAGGTCCATATGTGACATCTCACCCCCCCCAAGAACCAGGTGCGGAATGCACCCCCCCAGGTCCCTGCTCCTCTTTGACCGTAGTGTTCCCCCGTCCTCCTCACACCGACCCCGCCGGACGCCCCTCACCACATCTGCAGAGCTGAGCGGCAGGATCTTCCTGCTGGCTCTGCAGATGCTGCTGTGGCTGTCATACACGATCCTCTGGTCGCAATTGAAGTCGCACACGTGCGTCGCTCCGCTGTCCTTGCACTGGTACAGGTTCCCCAGAACGTGTGTGATGGAGCAGTTGTAGGTGCATCGGTGGACCTGCCCCTGGTGCGTTGACAGACAAACCGCCGAAGGCTGCTGATCAATGTCCATATTAAAAATTACCGGACTTTGCTAGAAGCAGCTTCTTTCAGAGTTTACCAAAAAGGGAAGAAGTCTTCCTGTGTTTACCACTAGCTAAAATCGTTTCCCTGTGATAGGAATGGTTGCCAGGAGCGCGCGGGGCAAACAGCTAACTCTGCGGAGTGTTCCACTTTGCCGCGTGCAGAATGTACCCCGAGCAAGCCGCCTCCTGCTCCTTTCTCTGTGACAGCCGCAACCTAAGCTGGTCTTCCTTGGCGAACAGGAAGCTCCGCAACAGGTACCTCCTTTCCCTGCTCAAAGCTCTCAAAACTTCGAAGAGGCGCTCCAACTTCAACTTCAAGCTGGATCCTGATTCTGCAGAATGGGCATGCAAGGCTGAACTGCCATGAACTGCCGCCAAAAGCGGGGGTTCAAACAACGAGTCCCTGGTGTGGGGAGATCTCTTGAACGGGTAAGTATAGGAAGACGACTTCAATGACTATTATGATCAACTCCCAATGGCTAAGTTCTTCCTACGCCACCTGCATCCATCCTGACGATTGTGAGCCGTCGATCTGCCCAAATCTAAACCAACTGAAACTTGTCTTCTTCGTGACCGCCCGATGCCGATCCGAAAGACAAGAAAATGTCGCCTGAGAAACCGTTCAGCCGTCCGATGTGCTCAAGGTCTCCATCCACGGCGAAGAACTTCCTTCTGGCTTTCAGTCAGCTACCTATGAGTCGGAATGACTGTCATAATGACATCATCGTGTTCTAAGTACAAGAAACTGATCAACCTTGCACCAACCTTGCACCAGCAGCAGGTTCGGTTTGGTGCGCGCCGTCCTTCCTCCTCGTGTGAGATCAGCTTCCCTCAGAGTCATGGGGAAGAGACGAAACAGAGCCGCAGCTGGCCGTCCAGGTCAGGGTTCTTCCCAGGCTGAAGGTTTGAAAGACAGCTTTCTGGAGCTTCTTGGGGATGGTTTGTTTGATTCTGTATCAGACGGGAACATGGTGGTGGACGAGGGTTGTTCAAAGAATGCAGTGGCCAGCGGACCGCAGGAGCTGATAAAAGGACTCCCTGATGATCTCGTGCGGCAGTGGATACTTCCAAGAGCAAATCCTGCCAGCTATGCGCAAATGAAGAAAGTATCAAGGGGTTGGAGGTCGCTGATTGAAGAAGGTGAGAGCCGGCAACTTTTGCATCAACGAATCCGGTTAATATATGTATGGTCTTTCAGCAATTGATTGTTGTGATTGTGATAGGGCAAAGTCTTCATATAATATCGGTATTAGTCTGCACACATCTCTTGTAGCGCAATTGCACAATGAATGATCAGTTGTTTCGGCCTGAAAGTCTTGGTCAATATAGTCAAACGTTGCTTTTGCATATTGCTGCTTGCCCTTCTTGAATTCCTTTAAACAAAGAGAAGTCCTTCTTCCTCGATTTCTGAAAGCACTTCATACCACCATATAAAAGGCGGAAGAGCTTTCCCACTATGCCAGCCGGAACCTGCAGCTTACTTCATGGTTCTGTGTTTGCCAATGTGCTGGCATGCACCCATCACTTGCGCGGATTAGTGCAATGTAAGCACTTCAGCTCTATTTGAATGTTGATCCATCTGTATGCAGGAGAACTCTTTCGATTGCGAAAGGAGCAGGGACTTACTACAGAGATGCTCTGTGTCACGCATGGTAAGTGAGGCTCGCTCCTGGTCATATCTTGAAACTTTTCGTCAAAGGAATGTGGTGGTAAATTATGCTTGTGTGCTCGCGAAAAAAACCTTTTGGTACCACCCCTTCAGGGGAGGGTTTGTGTTGCAACTTATTAAACTGGACATACAACGTCTAGATGCTACAAGAACGTTTCAGACATCAAGCTCGTATAAGTACTTTTTGTCTCCGCCGCCATTCAACAGTCCTTTCATAGAAAACATGTGTTCTACATGTTGCTGTCCCAAGCCTTCACCGACGCAAGTGCCCCTCTAGGTCTTTGCACAGACGCCCATAACTACATTCAACACCCTAGCTTACTGGAAGTCATTCTTACCTTCAGAAGACAGTCCTTGAAGAATCTTTGGGAATGTTGGAGTGCAGTTCCTCTGCGCTTGCAGATTGAGGCCTTCACATGGTTCCGGTTTGGCCAGCATGTTTTTCAGGAAGTCAGAGAGTCTTTTGCGACACTTCTGCCACGCCACCCATTCCTTCCAAAGATCCTGACACGTCTATGCAATCACCCCAGACTAAAAGCATGCTGGACATGTCTGCAGAGGGGCAAGGCTGGGAACTCTTCAACCCCAAGGAAGGCAACTGGAGTTACATGGAGTGGGAGGCAGAGGCTCTGAAGAAGACGGTCAGGCATCGATGCGTCGGGGTTGGCTCCAAGCTGTACTTTCTGGGGGGGCAGCTGGCAGGAAGTGTCAGGAGAGACGTGTACGTATACGACCTGGAGCGAGGAAAGTGAGTCTGGCGCCAGCAACCTGAAATGTGCGTTTTAATTTTTGAGAAACTGCCCCTTTGCAGGTGACAGGATATACATGGGTTAAATCCGTTCTGGTTTACCCATTAAGCACACAATATTGCAAGGGGCCCAGAGTCACGCCTGGATTGCTTCTCGGACAATGCGAGAGAATGCCTGTTGACCAGGCCCCTCAAAGGTGATTTGGAATCACAAGGTGCTTATCACCACCCTGAGCTACCTAATTTAATGATCTCTGCTGAGTGTACTTTGGAAATTAATATGAACAGTTTTAACCTGCTGCTCTTGTAAATTTTTTGATCATTGAGTGGTCATAGTTCGTCAAGCAGAGAAGCACGCAGTTTGTGGGGTGGTCCTATCTGTGGCCCATACTGATAAAGTCTGAGGTCTTGTTGAAGTCTGTTTTGGGCGACAATCGCTGCCCAGAGAAACTCCGAGGGTTCTCACTAGTGAGGGACGGTTCCCCCAAGGTAACAGTACCAGGGAAGGACTTCTGGACTGACATGGCAAGGACAGTCTCGAAAATCAGCCACATAATGGCCACGGGTAAACAAACAAAAGGGTAGATCAGAAGCGTATGATTGATTGTTCCAAGAGGCTCCTTCACACGTATTGACTGGCTCTGTATCTGAGCCCCCTCCCAAGCTTTCCAGCAAGAAGCAAGGCCTCTCTTTGAGCTCACCTCTCCCCTCTTTCGTGTCCCTTCGCATCCTCTTACCAGACTCCCAACCCGCTAGATACGCCGCCATAACCCTCTCACAATCTCCTTGACCCCCCCAAACCCTTCAGGTGGAGCCGAGCGAACAACATGAGCATCCCCCGTGCCGATTTTGCTTGCTGCACCGACGGCGCCCGCATCTGGGTGGCCGGGGGCTCGATGTCGTACTACTCACGTGACGGCGAGGTGTACCATCCAGAGGATGACACGTGGGTGCCCCTCCCGAGCCTCGTGGACCGCCACTTTGGCACGATGGGCAACCGCCACCTGCAGGGGCTGTGGATACGTGACCGGTTCCTGGTGGAGCCGGGACATGCCATCTTCGACCCAGAAGCGTAAGCGATGATGCAGACTTCATTTGAGCTGTGTGTTTTGTTTTCGTGCTGCATGCCTTTCCTGAGACTTGTTTTTCTGAGGCGGAAAAGGCTTCATGTCTTGTACAGGTCCAAAAAAGGATTTATTACTTTTCGCACCCAAGGGAAATAAGTCATGCAATGCATTAGCAAGGTGAACGAGAGGGGTGCCTCGATCCACAACCCTGATCTTGTCATTTTAAGTTCTTAGGTTACGGAAATCGAGCTCCTGAATACTTTTGGGCTCTTCGCAGCCCCCAGCCGATCTAAAGGTGCATTAGCCGGATCTTCTTTGCAACGAAAGCGTCCGTTGGAGACTTGAGCCTTTGCTTTTAGACTTGCAAAAACTACGAATGAGGTTTGTGCTGAGGCGTTTTACAGCGCATTGCCCGTGATCCAACTTACGCTGCCTGGGTTCGAGAATACTGTGTAGTCAATGGCGGGCAGTAATCTTCTGAAGTATTATAAACTGGACTGAGGTCTTGCAAGGTGCAAAACCTAGAGTGCGCTTCCGTAGATGTCACCTTAGACTTTCAACCTTCTCTTATCAGGAGCACCTGGACTTTTCTAGCAAACGCTGATGCTGAGTCCGAGAGCCCCTACATGGTGGCCAACGTCGGGGGGGAGCTTTACGGGGCGCGGCACGCCCCCGGGGATGATGGTCGCCACGCGCGCATTGACTGGATCGACCTCGACACCGCCATGCCAGCAGGGAGTGTGAACAAGGACTTCATCCGGAAGCGGAAAGCGTCGGCGCCCCCGACCCAAAACTGCAGCCGCTACAAGTTCGGGATGGCCGGCCTCAACGGGCGGCTCTATGTGTTTGGCGGGAAAGTGAAAGCAGGGTTGCCGGGGAAACGGCGGAGGCGGAAGGATGTCGGCTCGGTGGAAGTGTACAATCCGATGCCTACGAAGGATGAACCGGAGTGGAAAGCGGTCAAAACGATGGGGCGGACTAAGGGAGAGATCAGGACTTGGACGACGGTTGTAGCATGACGCGGATAGATGCCTTTGAGGAGGGACGTCGATTGACATATAGTGCCAACGGCAGCAGCTGGTAGACTATCACTCTGGAGACACTGAAACTGGGCCGAGGCCAAATGTACAAAAGAATTTCTTTACTGTGACCCTTGATGCAACTAGATGGTGGACGAAGTCTGCTTACTAGCTTAGGGGCCAGGACTGCACATTGGAATGCATCGACAGCAACTCAACAAAAGAAGCAGGGTTAGATATACAGCATGTACATTAGTCCTTGTCCGTCAACGACGTTTTAGTTGATTATACACTCAAGGCATGCGGTGCTTAGCTGCTTGTAGCCCTTCACATGATCGCATCTTACATCTTGAACAGCTCATGAAACTGGTTGCCCGACATGCATGTACCTATTCCAAAGGGTGGGGCGGTCATTGCAGTCGAGCCTGCCGAGCTTTTGATCAAAAACTCAGGTGGTGGCCGTAGCAGCTCGATGATCTGCCTCCCCAAAACTCATATTGGAGTCGGTCCGACATCACACGCCACCACGGTGGCTCAATGATAGGTGGTGGTAGTTCTTGACTTCTATGCTGATATCATGCTTGCAACAAATCGAGCTCAATCGTCTAAGTTCACATGTCACCAACGAGCTGCAATATTGTACTCGATCAGTGACGTCTCATTGTATCAACATGTAAATCCTTCTCGCCAATTTCATCGTCCCTTAGGTTGAAAAACGGAGCTGAACATGTATGCAGACGCGGTGGTCGTTGACGAAGCGCTTAATTCTGATTCCTAGCTTGTCGCGATAACCCTCATTAAATCCCCCCAGCCGCTCGGTGCGTGAACTAAAAATCATAAGCGTATTTTGGAAACAGCACACAATTCATTGAACGTTGCAGATTTGCAAAGCTGCCGTGCCAACAATGAAGTATGAAGCTGTGTTGATGGCCGGGATCACGTTGCATGCAGTCCGTTGGCTTTCGATTTACATGAGTTGCAGGCACTTGCCGGGGATCCCCCCAGACTTGATCATTTACAAGCGATGTCCGTTGACCAACGAAATGCTGACAGCTGGCACGAATCTTTGACCAGACGTTCCAGTGACCAGCGGAAGCCAATGTCAGAACTTGAAGACAACAAATCCAGAGTGAGGACACTTGCTTGCAGGGAGCCCTTGCGGACCACAGCTGTGCGTGCACCTGTAGCAAGCCCTATACAGGCTGCAGCTTCTTCTTTCAAACTTCTGTAGCTGTTGGGAACAGGCGACTTCTGGGCAGATGGAAGAGCGCGTCTGACAGCATGTGCACTGCATTCTGGCTGATGCGACGAAGATTGCGCAGCTTGGTGCGTTCCTCACATACATGTCAGAGTACTCTGGAGGCCATAAAAGCATGGGTTTCTTTGTCAAGGGTCAGGGACCCCTTATGGATGTTTAGTCCGCTCGTCTGGACGATAAGTTTATACAGTCCTGTTTATGGAAGTTGTAAAGGAGTTTTACGGGATAAGAGGCGCTCCAAAGAAATGAAGGTTTGCTAGGGTGAGCTGGCAAACCTTCCGAGAATTCAAATGCATCACCGCAATCACAGCAACGCTGCATTATTGCATTCGCTCTTGTATTGTATTGAAGACACTTCAAGGATGGCAGTGCTTCATATGACATGAGACTTTGGGGACGACGGTTGTGCATAGCATTGGCAGTTTTCGGAGAAGAATCTGAGCATGGGGTTTTCTGAAGGGTGCGCAGTCAAACTTCAGTGACTCCGTCGCAGGTCATTAAAACCGACTTTACGGAGCTCATCTTTTGGCAGAGGAGGTTCACCCAGCTTAGCTCAGAAGCGACCTCAGGTTTGCACACGCATCTGAACCAGGCAGACATTGTCAGCCCCGCCAGCCCAACACCTTTGTCCGCGATGGATTCAAGGGGATCCCTTCCTTGCGCAGTTCCATGGAGGACCAGCCCATAGCACGTTTCTGAACCCGACGCTCACAATTTGCTGCTATGGCCGAAAAGGGGGGAATGGGCCGCGCCTGCTATGCTGCAGGGGGGTGCCCAACTGACTACATTGCAGTCGTCTTGACTGGGGTAACTTGCCTGTGGTAAGCAGTCTTCCCCCACCACCCGGTGTTCTCTACAAAACCCAGCAACAAAGAAGAAAGCTCGAGAACTTTGTTCTTATCACAGGCTCTAAGATATGGAGATCTGATGCACCAGAAAACCCAACTGCAAAGCAACACTCCTGCGGGGAAAAAGCATCAACTTATTCCGGATTTGTGGCCAATTCTTTCAGGCCCCAAGTTGGCTCCGTGCCAGCCAGTCTCGCGCCTCAAAGAATGTGTTCCCTCGTTTGGATTGGCTTTTCTTGCTCTTCAGCCAGAGCTTCTGATCCATGAAAATTTCAGCACCGGAAAAATTGGTTATGTGTCCTGTGAGTTTGAGAACTCTCTCACATGCCAAACCACAGACCCAACTCTCAAGACACAGACACTGAGGTATTAAGCGGCAGGCCAGATTTGCAAGTGTCGGACTCCCAATCTTAAAGACACACCGGGCTCAAGAACACCAGCTTTCCAATGTTTAAATATGCCCATCAGATCCCAAGATTCTGCAGCCCTCTCTTGCAGGCTGCTCGTGACCTCTGCCTTTGTCTTCTACCACCGCCACTTTCCTCCGCTGCGGGCAAAGCATGTGCCTCTTGTGACGGTGGGGGCGGCCAGCAGTGTGTGCTGGCTGATCGCAATGGTGGTAGGTTTTTCCCACTGCTCAACCCCTGCCCCTCAAGTCCGGATCTGGTGTCCGAAGAACAAGCCTGCACGGGACTTTGGGCAGTTTCTTCTTGTGCCACAAATTTCATTTGGTTCACCCATGGCATATATTTTCTGTTGGTTTCCATCACCTTTCCTGTCGTTTATCCAAGCGCCAAATGGTACTCAGCCCTAGCGAATCTTCTAATTTTTGGCTCGCACTCTGCGCAGCCCACCAAAGCAATGTTGAATTTAAATGCTCCCGAGAGTGGGGCCGCACGATGGGGAGTGTTTCGTGCACAGATTCTCAGGGCTGTGCTTCTGCCGTCCAGGTCTCGCAGGGGCTGTTCAAAGTCCCTGGAGGCAGCTTTTGGGACTCTTGCTCGCTCTGGAAAGGTGGGTGTTACGTTTTTCCTCATGGTCGTTGATTCCTTCCGTACATTCTTTTCCTTCCCTAGACTTCGTTTTCGTTTTGTCGTCTCTTTTATTATTTGCCCCGCCTGCGTCCCTGTTAGCTGACTGACCAGGCAGAAACAAGAAATGGTGGATTTAAATCAAAAGAAGGAGTGATCTGAAGATTTTGTGAACGAGACGTGGGCAAAGAGACCTATAACTTCCTACTTCCCTAACCGAATCTTCCGGATTTCAACTCGTACACTTTCGCACGGCGGCTACACAGTCCCAGTGACTGTAGCATCGTACTGCCTTTGGCATAATTGTCAGCATAAAGGCCGCATCTGTTGACAGTCCTATCTTAAACTGCGTAGCGGTCTATGCTGGCAATAATGACGTTGGCTGACGACGCTACAATGCATCCTCTGTTCAAACAATGAAATCCCTGCTCCTAATAGACAAGTTATCTCACACTGGTTGAAAGCCAATCGAGACGTGGAGATCTTTAGGAGAAGGGCCGACCGAGCCGAAGGGACTGATAGTTGCCCACAGCCAGCGCAAACTCTTTGGTTCTCGTGCTGACTCGGCGCCTTTTTGCGCAGTCTGGCTGGGGGGACTGCTCGGCTTCGGGCTGTGGATCAGCTGCCACGTGGCACGGGGGTTCCGGCTCTACTTTGTGTTCGTCCGGTGAGGCCCCCCTTTCTCGCTTTGAGCTTGTCGTTTCCTTTTCCTTCGTTCCTCTTCAGGATTAGGGTTTCTGCTTCGCTCTCTACACTCGCCACGTGGGTCTTATCGTCTCGACCTCTGAAAGGTATCACGTTCCGTCTTTCTGGGAGCTAGCATCGCGGTGTCCTTCCTCAAAGGACGTTGTTGTGAGGTTTCAGGTTGTCTGACCCCATCCTTCAAAACCGCAGGAAGCACTATCCGCCGCTATCGCCGTTCTGGGTCGTTACGCTTCTACTCCTCCCCTGGCTGGCGATCGCCCTCGGTAGGACGCCCAACGTTCTTGCGAGTCCCTGGGTTCTACATGCTTCAGGATCCATAGATAGCGGAGGATCCATGCTAAATCTCCTGAACGGAATTCATTTGTCACCTGATCCTTCTGAGAAAACAACTTTTACCGAAGTCGGGCACTCGTATTCTACCGCAAAGTCGGACCAGATGCGATTATTTCTGGCTCTTCCAAATCCGCTACTAAAACTCCAATTGATATCGTTCGAAATGTTCCTCAATCCGATTTCGGAAGCCCATTCCCCAGACGCATGCGCTCGTAGACTCAATCTCGGTGTCCTGACCAGCTTCGATTGGAAGTCCCCCTTCTTATGGATGGCACGGGACTGAGTCAGCTTTGAAGCGATCTGAGCCTCTTTTCATATTCGCCCAATTCGCCGCAGCCTTCGAGTTGGGCGGCGCACTGGATAACGAGTCCGGCCGCTGCACCGCGCCGCTGGGGTGGTACGTTGTGCTGGCGGCAATCCACGGGGTCTACGTGTTGCTGTTTCTGGGCGCCACGTTGTCGGTGCGGGGGATCCACTTCATGTTCAACGAGTACCGAGACCAGAAGCGAACGGCGGCCGTGATTGTGTGCTTCGCTGGTGGGTGTCTCCGGTTCTGACCTCACAGAGTCCTAAGGTGTACAGGGGTTTGTGATCCTTACGGTCGCTTGCCCGCTGTTCCTTTGCTTTCCGATTTTCCAAAGTTTTGAAACAAGGACAAGCGACTCAAATCCAGGACCCAAGACCCATCATCTGCGTTTGGTCGTTTCGTCACAAAGAATCGGGAGGAAGAAGCTCATCAGAGGCAGCTTTGAACTGCAGCCGAGCGTCCAAAAAAGCGACGCTTTTCGCAAACACTTCGGTGGGTTGCGCTGCAAACCCTTGCGCGAGGGCGGCGCACCACCCACTTAGCGTCGGGCAGCTTGCCTAGACGAACATGTATATATTTTCAAATTGTCAGAACGATTGATACAGTCAACCAGTTGACCTGAGAACCATGTTACTATTTCCAGAATAGACCTCATTTTGGGTTTCAAAAGACACATTGCGAGAGAAACGAAAAGTTTTACACGAAATCATTCTCGAGTTACAGTGAGTGTATCTTCATGTGGACTCATAGCAACTCAAAAGCTCAGCGCAATTCCCTCTGCAGGCATCTGGCTGATCCTGTGGACCGCAAAGCGCATCGCCGGCGATTCGGCGCGGCAGCTGCAGGTCGCAGTGCGCTTCACTCTCATTGTCGCTGTAAGCTCGCCGTATTTCCTCCTCTCTATTTCCGCTCCACACCGTTTTAGTACCCTTTCTTCTTGTTTCTTGATTTGCAAACCCTTCATTTCCTTCCTTTCTTGTCCTTCTCCTTTATATTCTCCTAGGCGCTGCTATCTTCCCCTGTCTCTAGACATCTTCCACTTCTTAAGCGGTAAATTGTTTTACTGCTCCCTTCGTTTTTCGACTTTTGACCACTACCCGACCTTCATCGTGTTTCATCAAATTCCCTCCCGTATGCATGTTAGCTTGCCTGATCGGGCCATCTTTCGCTGCCCTCATCGTTTCACACGTCATCGCTGATACGTCACCATCTGACGTGCGCAGGCCGACGTGGCCGCCCTGCTCTTCTCCTGGGTCCCCGTCCAAGCCCCCGTGCGGCGGCTCCTTCGGCCAGGTGGCGGTGTAAATACGCCACTTGCGGCGGCAGGAGACCACACCGCCCTGACTATGGGGCCTATTCTCACCGCGAAGGCGCTTGAGGCGGAGGGGCTGGAGACACTGCTCGGGTTCCCGCGATTCCTGCAGGCCTTCAAAGAGTTTGCCGACAGGTGGGCACGTGCTCTGTTTGCCTGGTAAAGCCCATCTTCTGGTGGGCTTCAAAGATTGTCAAAGAATGCAGTCTGCTTTTCAATGCAGTCTCGATGCACCGAAACGAATGCTCCTTTCTCGCCCCGTCTCATTGCTTTTGGACCTGGAGAGCTTCTTGTTTCTGACCTGGAGACTGCCTTATATTTGCCGTCATTGATTATGAACGCGGCTGCGCGTTTCGGTTTTTTTGCCGTTCTCTTAGGCGGCTCCCAGCTCCCAGTTTCCGTACCTCCCTTCTTTGATGGTTCCGTGCATCGAACCCTTCAAACCCCTCTTCGGTAAAACTTTATTCCTGAGATCTGTGAGCATTCCCTGCAGTCGCCTTGCGGGAGAGTGCGTCCATTTCTTCGAGGCCGTCGAGCGGCGGCTAGACGCGGGACACGTGGCCTCCCCAGAGGCGCGCATCTACGCCGCGGATGACGTCATCGCGAAGTACGTGCGCGCGGGGGCGCCCCTGCAGATCAACATCTCGGCGGCCATGCGGGCCAAGATCCTGCGGCGCAACGATCTGGCTGCGGAGGACCTCTTCCGGGAAGCGCGGAGAGAGGCGCTGAGCATCATGCAGACGGTAGGCTATAGCGGTCTCGTCCTGTTGGAGGGGAATATTTGAACCCTGAAGGCGCTATCTTTCGCGCAGGCGGCGCCTTTTTGGACTCAAAAATTTGAGCTTTTGGTTTGCAAGTGCCAGAAAAATGCGGACGAGATCTTGGGAGCCTCGTGTGAGCGGTCGGTTCAGCATTCTTTCCGTCTGTTTGGAACGGGCGCTCTTTCTGTATCTATGTTTACGGACACGCCGCGAATCACTCACCTACCAACGGCGGAAGGTCCTCCTACATCAATTTCCTTAATCCTCCGTTGCGGACCTTTTGTCGCGTGAGTCCCGTTCACTGGGAACAAGCTCGCGAGGGGAGTTTGCGAGCCTGTTGTGTGTCTTACCTCATCCTGATTGGGATGTGTGTCCCCTTGAGATGTTTAGAGGCTTTCTGATTGTTCCTGGATGCGCGCAGAAAGTAACGATGCAATATTTCTTAAGGCGACCGCAGTAAAGCTGTCACTGTTCGGGCTACCTGCAACACGTCTTCCGCCTTTCAGACCTTGGGTGAGACAGCAAGAGACAACATCCACGACAGGCTTCATTCAGAACTGGACATTGCAACCTCTGGGCAGTTAATGCTTGACCTGCAGCCATCAGCACGGGCTCTTTCTTTCCGACAATAGAACTTGTGCTAGCCTCGCGTTTGCACAACTTGGAATAGGACTTCTCTTTGCTTCCATCAACCAATTCGCTTTCCGTCTCGCCTTTGCAGTATGCGGAAAAAGACTTCGACATGTCAGAAGGAAGGGCTCTTTGCTTCCGTCCTTAGACCCTGTTCTCGCCTCCTCCTCGCAGAACTTGGAGAAGGACTTCTACAAGTCCCCGCAGTTCGCGGCGCTGAAGGCGGCGCTGGTTCAGGAGGCCGGCGAGTCCGCCCAGCTGCGCCTGATGGGCATCTCCGAAGTTTCCACCTTCGCACAGCTCGCGCGCTTGAGCCCCCCCTCGAAACGCCCGCCGATCCACCCCCCCGGAGCGACCGAATCGGAAGCCCCTGACATTTACCAGGAAGAGGAGAAAGCTCAGGGTATCGAGGTTAAGGACTTTGAAGCGGTGGGAACGAGTTTCGAAGAAGAGAGTTCTGGAGGGAGTAGTGGTAGAAAACGGCTGTCGGGTCCTTTAGCGGAACATCCGAACGAGGCGGGTTTGGTCGGCGCCGCGGGAAGCTCTAGACGTTCCGAGGAGGCGGGAGCTCTTACCGTGCAGCCACTTGTCTCGCAGAATTCCGGTGGTTCCGGTGATGAGCCGTTGTTGCACCGGAATCAGCCCCCGGAACCCTTACGGACCTCGTACGAAGGATTTATCACCCATCCAGATCGTGTTGTCAAAAGCGGTGGGGATCTGGACACCGCAGAACGATCGAGGCGGCACACGAGCCCCGTTGAAAGTAACGGAGAGCGCTTGGTTCGTCCCCGGCGTTACAGCGATCCGGTTTCGGCTAGTGTCAGCCCTAGAGAAAGGAGCGGCGCTTCGCCGTCGATTGTGCGATTAGCAAGCAGACTGGCGGCTGAAACAGTCGCGTCGGTAACGGGGGCTCGTCACGGCAGCGCGGGTTTGCGAGAAGAAGAGGAAAGGCAGATGGAAGACACGTTGCTATGATTTTCTGATTGCCATAATCGCAAAAAAGTGCGAGTAACCGCGTCACGCCCAATTCAGCAGTGAACATTGTGTAAATGGATCAGCAACAGAGCTAGGGTGATGTTATAGACGGTCTGTCACCAAAAAGGCTTGGTCGTCCCGACTGCATGCTGCAAAGCAATCTTCTCGTCACATGCGCATGACGACGATTGATCGTTCCTCATTTATTTGGCTCATGTTGAGGAGCTGCGTGCAGCAGTCTCTTGACCAACCGCAATCAGGATCTTTGTGCAACTCATGTATACATTATAGAAGTTTATAAGCCAATAAGCGTTTTGTACATATGCATGTTTTTCGCTCGGTGATATATGTGCATTGTTTGAAATTTTGAAGGAAATGCATAACTGTATAAGCGGCCCTCTCCTATCAACTATATATAAGGATCTTCGCGCGACTCCGCGGGTACTTCGCCGAGTGCGCATGCAGCTAGAAGGACATTCAAAAGCATGCTGCATTGGTAGGTATAGGCTGTATAGGCAATTACCTGAGGGGTTCAACAAAAGTTGGATTTGAAAAGGACGAAAAGCTCGTAGTATAGACGCACAATCGTTGATATAGTGGATCGATCGAGGGGTCAGCAAATTGCATTCTGCAATCGGCGCGGCACGCACTTTTAGCATTTCTCAGCATGTTCCTTGCGAGATCGCAATATTGCCCCGACTCCGGATTCACGAGGACCCGATCTCAAACTCTCCTGAAGCAGTGACCCTGTCAAAGCAGAGGGAAAGTGACGACATCCAACCCAGCCCGCTAACCCAAATCTAATCCAAACTTTTCGCTGACCAGCCCCATCCAGTCTTTCGATTGCCTTCGTTGACAATAGTCGCGCCTGCGTTTAACCCGTCTTCCGGATGCTGACGTCAATCGACGTGGAAGTTGACACTTCCAACAGCTGTGAGTTGTGGGGTTGTTCAAGAAGTAGTCAGCGCGGGCGGGCGGAAAGCCTGTCTGAATCGTTTGGAGCACGCACCAAGTGATCGGAGTGTCAAATTTGTCAGGATTGTGAACACAAGAAGCAAGAGTTCAATTTGCGCTGCAACCTGCGCGATCTCGTAGAAGACTGGAAACTTCTCAGAGCGAGCTGAACGCGACTTGAGGCTTACCGGGTTTTGACCTCACCACTTTCAGCTATCTTTCCTCTGTGGCGACGACACCCCTCACTTAGGCCACGAGGTTTAAGCGCGTAGGCCTTTTGCGCAGGCGGGACTTGGAAAAGAGACCATTCATCAAATCGCCTCTTATTGAACCCTATGGATGTCAAGTTGCGCCGGTAAGCAGCAGGAGGGTTAAGCCAGGATCCACCCACGAGGATCCTTAGGGTAATTGCGAGTTTCACAAGGACCAATTGTGCTGAAGGCCTTTTTGAGGAGCAAATAAGGCACGAAGTCAAGTAGACACAATATTAAGGGGCAGCTAAAGGAGTTGTTTCTTCAGATCTGGCTCGGGCGCTGATCTCAACGACGTGAAATGGCCTTGACAGCAGGACGGTTGGATCTGCGAAGCGGAGCACATGCATGGAGTTTGGAGCGAGCTGCTTGATTGTGGTGAGTGCCAATCAACCATATGTCCTTGCAAATGATACGAATACCACCTGGCAAAGGGCTTCGTATATGTTGGGGCCAGTTCAAACGAAGAAGCTTGTTTCTTAAGAAGCAAAGCGACGACGCGCAGTCATACTGCGTAGTCAGGCGCTGAGGATTCCCATGGGGGTTTCCGCTGAATCGCATTTCTCTTTCTCGTGAAATAGAAAGGCTTTCGCGCATGCTGCTTCGAAGTTTCGAGAAGAGCCTTTGACACCTTTTTGAAGGTTAGCAAGACTGTTTTCTGAAGATCCTTGCATGCGTTACCATTGCCTCCGGCTTCCTTGATGATTTTGTTCTTGGGAACAAGGATCGCTTTCGTCGCTTCCCATACTCAAGTCCGAAATGCCATCAGTCGGTGACCGATTCTATAACCCTGGTTTGCAAGGCTTTATCACCAAAATGGACGATCTACGTTTGAATCTCAAGCTGAATTGACTTGATTTTGAGTCCAAGGTTTTGCTGATGATTCGGGAGGTTTCGAGGGGTTTGCGATGAAACACGGATCCCTGAGAAGAATTGTCAGGCACCGTGATTGATTGGAGGAGGATCAAAGCTGACGCCCCACCAGATTTTCGCAGGAGCAATTCTTAGCATAGGCATGTTAGTTCTTGTCTTGATTTTCAGCAGTCTGGCAGTCGAAGCTGTAAATACGAGGTAAAGAGTCTCCGAGGTCTCATTAGAGGTTCTTCTGTGCACCTTGACGTGGATTTGTCATGATTCTTCTCGAACTCGAGTTTGGAGTGCTTAGACGATCTGTTGTGTTGTAGATTGGCGTCGAGAAAGACAGAAGCTCAAAGCACGTCTAATCCCTGCTGCTTAGGGTTCAAAAGAGTGGAAGAACACGGTGATCATTGTAAGGGATGAACCTTTCTTTTGTCTTTAAGCTCAGTTGCTGATTCTTGTTAGTGCCCTCTCGTTGTAGCCTGAATTGGCATCTTTTGAAATTGATGCCGTATCGGGCTGATCTGAGTAAGCATGATGTGCTGGACTGACCTCTGAGGAATATCTTCGACATTGATTATGTCCTATACGGGCCTTCTCACTGAGGAAATAGAGATCCGAAATTCTGCCTAAAATCTACGTTGTCTCTCTTGAGCCTAAAAGCAGACACTATGAAATGTAGTCCCACAAATTCTCCACTGTGCCAAAAAGCATCACGCTTTCGTCACTTCATTTCGCCAAGAAACCAAACAATACAACGGACCCAGTCCAAAGCGCCTTCCTCTTTCCTTCCAGGTAACACGCTCTAGAGCCGTTTCTCGGACAAAAGCGCCGCGAAGCTGACGAAGAACATCCCGTTAAGTTCCAACGCGAAATGGCGACTGGCACAGCCCGGGAGACTTCCCCGACCACGAGTCCTGCAGCAGAATTCGCCCCAGGCACAAGCCCCTGCCTCACTCCCAAATCTGAACCTCAAGCTGCGCCCGGGATTATGTCGCCAGCACTGTCCCGGCCACTTTTCCCCGACACCCCGCCCACGTCCGACGAGCGCCGCAGCCAGGGCCCAAACCCCGCGCAGGGTTTTCAAGCTGCGCAAAACTCTACGCATCAATCCAAGCCTGAGGAAGAATTCGCTGTGAATTCGGCCATTCCAGAACATGATCAGCCAAACCTCGCGCTCGAAGTTGGCGCGGAGTCCGCTCAGAATGCCGCACAAGATTCCGCTCGAATCGCTGACGTAAAGCCTGGCTCAGACCCCTTCCCGGACATCGATCCTGGCACCAGTCGCCTCGACTCAAAGCTCGACCCTCACTCTAACCCGGATTCCTCTTCAAACGGCGGCACCAGTCCCATCACCCTCAACCCCGCCCGAGATCCCAGCCCAAACCCCGCGCTAAACCCCGACCAAAAGCCGGCCGCCAGCTGCGCGCTCCCCCCCGTCGAGCAGCTGTTGGAAGACCTGGTGAGCGACCCCCCGAAATGGAGCGCGCTCAACTGGGCCGTCAACAACGACCGCGGCCTGCTGTACGCGATGGAGGAGGCGGTCAAGGCGCGCGGCGCGGCCGCGCTGCGCGCGCGCCTCGAGCGCGAGCGCGCGCGGTTGGACGCCGACGCGGTCTGGGCGATGAACCAGCCACTGCTGTCGCTGGTGCACTTCATCGTGACCGGGGAGAACGACGTCCACAGGAAGACGGTCCGAGTGAAGGAGCTAAAGAGGATCATCTGCGCGAAGATGGCGCTCGGGGCACCGACCAAGGGGGCCCTGGAGACGAGGGTGCGGGGAGAGACCCCGGTGCCCAGTAAGTTTTGACCGTCTGGATGTCAGAACCCAAGATTTTAGGGTTATTGTTTCAGGGGTTGAGGGGTTCTAGGGTCTTAAAATTAAGGCAGAAGCCCGCTTATCAGGTGTGTCGTTTGTTCGTTCGTCAAGGCAAACGATGCACGTATTGCTCGTATCGGCTCGTATTGGCTCCTATGAATGCAAGCGATCCGTTCTGGGGTCCACGATTGTGCGACGCGATTCCTTGCTTGTTGTCTACCAAGGACCAAGCCGGCAAGCCGGCCCTCGTACTGGAGAGCTTTCGGCACGATCAGATAGGAAACGCCACCTTCTTGCAGCAGGTTGCCTACAACCAGCTTGCAGCAAAAGTCTGGTAAGAGAGAAATTAAAGCCTTCCTTGAATGCATAAAATAACTAACGTCGATCAGGTCCAGATCAAGTCACTCATGTAAGTCTTTGACAGACCGTGGGGATCTAAAATGGATCTTTGATTGTCCTTGAACGGAGTTCATATAATGTCAGACCGGGATTTAAAAAGTCTCGGAATCTTTTCTCCAGGCTTTCAGACCTTGTCACGTCGCTTGAATCACGTTGGACCGCATGAAACTATTGTCGACGAGTGGTCAATCGTCAGCATCACATCTCACTTTACATTTTCATTTGCCGAGAACAGAAATGTTGAAAGGAAGCGAAACGATGCGTGAAAAGATTGGTCTCGAGAAGCGATGTGTCTATGCGTCTTGACGAGAATGCCGGTCTCTGGCAGGACAACAAAAGAAGGAGGCGAAGAAGGAAGGCAAACCAGAACGCCGGAAGAAGCGGAAAGGAATGGAAGACGGAGGCATGGAAGCGCTTGCGACTGCCGCAGAGACCCACACCCAAGGAATCAAGCGCGTTCGGAAGCCAGCAAAGCGGAGTGGCGGAACGGGACGAGCGGAAGGAGACGGAAACGGATCGGACGGAAAGACGCTGCATCAGCTAGTGGCGGAACGGCAGAACCGGAAAAGAGATGGCAAGTTCTCCGCCGGAATCCGCCCCGAGGAAGCGGCCTGGGTCCTGGCGGAAGCGGCGAACCAGCGGAACAAGAGCGAAGGCCTCGGCTCGCCGCGGGGCCGGAAGGGGAAGTGTGCGAATGCGCCCCGCAATGCTGCGCGCGCGCAGGGGCCTGTTCACATCGGCGGGGACGGCGAGCAGGAGGCAATCGAGGCGTTGGTGTACTCGCTGCGCGCGCGGGCGAACAAGCGGGGACGGCGCCACGTGTCAGATGCTGACGACCGGGAGGGTCTGGAGTCCGAGAGCGCTGGCCAGGGGACCGAAATGGCCGGGGAAAAGGGGGGGTGTAAGGGGGTGAAGGAGGCAAAGGAACGGTGCATGTGGGCGATCATGGATCTGCTCGGTAAGTCGCCCCGGCCTGCTGAATACGATTTTTTCTAAGGCGCTTCGCCAGACACTAAAGTAACTCAAGGCAGCTCTTATTCGCGCCGTGCTTCAAAGCTTTGGGGCCACCGGAGCGTTTTGATAGCCAGTGTGGGTTCGAAGCAATGAGTAACTTGTTTTGGGTGGATCAGGAGCCAGCACGGTGATCGGCACGGAAACAGAGAATGCCTTTGCACGCAAATTCTCATCTCTTGTCCAAACTTGCTTTTACGACTTGACCCGATCATAGCGTGCCGCGGACGGCCTCCCAGTCACACGACATGTGCAAAGTCTTTTGATCGCACCGATGATCGGTATCAGATCAAAAGAAAAGATCTCAATTGCATCGGAGACGGCCAGAATCACGAAGGATGGAAGGAGGATCTTGTCGAGTCAGCCAAGCTTTGACAACGCTGTCCTTTTCGGTGGACGCTGTGGTCTCTTTGAAGACGTCAGGCCTAGTTCAGTTGATTGTAGAAATCATAGTTACGAATATCGGGAAACGAGCAAAGAGCGCGTGCCCATCTGACACGGACTCGAACCCATCGAACGGTCCCTCTTTGGCCAGATGTCCTGCCCCCGGAGCTCGACCTGAACGCCGTTGAAGTCTTCAAGGAGCTGGGCGCCACGAAGGCCTTCGACGACAGCTTGGGTTACCTGGCCTCTAAGGCGCGTGCGCGGGCGCGCAAGGAGTGGGACGCGCTGAAGCGTGCGGCGGAGGACGCGCGCGCGACGGAGCTGGAGGCGATCGCGAAGCGGCGCGCCGTTGGGGAGCGGCTCGGGATCGAAGTCGCGGCCGCGCTGCACGCGAGTGAGATCTCGCACTTGCTGGATACTGGGCGCGCTTTCGGCTCTTGCCGTCGGATCAATTCGCATTTCTCAACGATTGCTTGCGGCCAGACGAGTTGTTCCTCTTGATTAAAACCTTTCAGTTGAAGTGCATCCGCCTTAAGACATGATACTTGCCTCTCAAGTCATGATCATGCAAAGTCTCCGGATGGACCCTTGCTCCTCGCAAGGGCATCGCCAGCCTTGTTTGGTACACTTTATACTGCCGATAAAAGGAATTGAGTAGATTTCATGTCATGAGGACTATGTATGTCGCCTTTTTCTCAGCTCGTGGTCCGTGCAGTGTACCCTTAAAACCCTTAAAACATCTGTAAAGTTGATCTTGGACCGTCTTGCTCGCTTCTCCTGTTCTACCTTCCGGCGTGAAACCTGTCAATCAGGCTTCTCCGCAGACAACTCGGAGCCATTTGCGGCGCCTCTGGGCTGCTCCAGACCTCAGCTAGCGTTTTCGTCTCTCATCCTGCCCCCCAGACTGCAATACTTTTTGCTTCCCTGCAGAAGACATGAAGGAGCACAACGCCGTGTACAGCGCCTTCCAGGTGCGGCTTATTGATCTGCGGCGAGAGATGGAGCGCCACGTGGCGCGTCTGGAGATGCGGGAGGGCGTCGCCAAGCGCGCGTGGCTCGCGTACAACAATGTCACGACATCACAGGCCGGCGCGATTCCTCAACCGTTGACGCTTCCGCCGGGGCAGGATCGATAGTGAAGGCTCGAGATGCCAGAAGTTCTTGTAATCGACTTGGAGTTGTCTCTGAAGCTTATATTCGCGGCTCGACTCAACTCGCGGCTCGACTCGGATCCAATAAGCGGTTTGCTGACTTTGCTCCGAGAGATGAGTGCTTCGCTGATTATGATAGGGAGGAGAGAGGGCGCAATTGCTTCATGCTTTTCTGTATACCGTGCAAGCCGCACGCAAACGGGCTGTATTCAATTCCAGAAAGCTACTCGTAAGCTGGCCGTTGAAGTCAATCCTAAGTACGCCCGCCAAAGCGTGCCAAACTGACGTCGGTAGTAAAACTTTGAGAGTGAGCGAGAGCCTATGATATTTGGCACTTGGCAGCGCAGCACAGCAAAGCAGCGGTCAACTAGATCGAGCGAATCTCATGGTCGACACGAATGGAAGTGCAAGCCGTGCGCCGCTCAGTGCAAGTGCATAGTCTGAACCATTGCGACAACCATATGCATTGAGACAGACCCGAGTGCTTTTCCCCTAGCTCTTGGATTCTTGCCCTTTATTGAATTGCTGCCACTTGCTGTTGAGCAAAGCTCGCGGCGCCACAAGCGTCCTTGAATTATAGATCCTCCTTCGCATATAGTCTCCAATCATCTTCACCGTGAAGCGTTATCATATGACACCAGCGGTTCACGTGCCGCGGCCGCGCTTGCGAGGCCCCGCCGCGCCTCGCAAGCCTGAGGCGCAGTTGGCGCGACCTTGCATTTCCACCCAACCCAGCCCGGTCACTTCACCGCCGGGGCCGGGCATCCCGACCCCCGACCCCTCCGGCATAGCCTATGAACCATAGGGGCCTGGCGCTTCCATAAGGTCGCAGGCCTGTCGTTACCACACACTTTTGAATTTTATCAACGTAATATAGCTCGCGTTATCAAGTCCTGTTTACAAACGGTCCTTCAGCTAGGGACGTTTCAGAACATTCTTGGCCGCATATCTAACTCAGTCCAAATAAATACGCCACTTTTCCGCTTGTCTGGTAGACCGTTTAGACATGATGAACTCATTCCTTGTTTAGGCATTTTGACGCAATCTATGATCAAGCTTGGATTACATACGACCTTCCCCAATCGCTGAAACAAAGCTTTCTTTCGCACACTTACTACTCGTAATCTGACCGTCAGCCTCTAGTCCAATGAGTGTCGGCTACTGGGATCAGTAACAGCTGAGGCGACCGCTGAGGAGTCGGACGACGACATGGACGCGATCGTATGGAGGGTCACGGGTCGATAAGGAAGGGGCGGAACCTCTAGACTGTTTGTAAGAATGTCCGCGCACCGACGCATGCTTGGGCGGATGGCGGTGGCGGTGTGGACGCAAAAGAGGGCGAGCTGGCACGTGCGCAAAACGAAAGCTGAAGTCAGTGAAATAACAGAGTACATGCTTCAGATACGCGCAGATTCTGTCCAGACGTAGCTCATTCGCTGGGCACTACGCATATGTACTGCAGCGTTCCAAAAGGTGTGCGTCAATACTGATTGAAAATTGCTCTCGTGGGCAAGCTGGATCGAGAAGCACAACTAAAGGCGTCTCCTAGGACTAAAGTCTTCAGACGAGTAAATAAACCGCATGTGCTGAGAACAGGCTTTCTCATTACGAGCCTTGCCACTTAAGCACTGGCTTCTCATATCCTCCGAACTCGTCCATCCTTTCAGACAAGCTTCCTCGAGAAAGACACGCCCCTGAAACCGTGCGGACCTTTATAAGCCTCATTCAGCATCCTTCATCTGACCGTACGCTTTTCAGAGTACGACCAAAGGTACTTGAGAGAAGCCACACGAAGTGCGAGCGACCAGCCTATTGGAGCCGACTCTTAGGAAGGTACGACTCCGAGCTGAATCGTAGGAGAGCGACAGAAGCTACCAATGATATGCAATTGAAAACGAGTAACTTCTTTCCGTTACAGAACACTTCTTACCCTTGTCATCCGGTCCATGCTGTCGCCGTGTTCGTTCCGTTCCTTCTCGAGCCGCGGATCAATTAGCAGCCCCAGCTCATTCCGTTCCGCCAGACTCCAAGCCCACTCCGGCAAGAAAACCTGAATGAAGTATGGAAAGCGTGAGAAGGGAACTCGCAGGCACCAGCGCCATGCTTTCAACATGCGATTCAGGGCAGCAAGGTAACTGTCCGCTTCATAAAATCTACGACAACAGTACGATTGTACATCTAGAAAGATGATCCCCTGATCCTCCGAGAAAACAACCGCTTGGATGGTGGAACACTATGCACATCCGAATCACTCGCCTACTCATCCAAATTTAGCCTCTGCATCCAGCTTTAAAGAGATGAGAGTGCTCCCTGTTCTTTCCTCTTGCTCAAAACAAAGAAGCAGAGCACAAGGACAAATCTGGGGCACACAGAACAAGGTTGTGTCAACATTCCAGTAGCCACGTGTCATAAGGATCGAGTAGCCACGTGTCCGCACCTCGTCCGCTGGTGCGTCTGGTAACTGAGGCCGTCGGCCGGCCAGCAACGTCAGCAGCACCACCCCGAAGCTGTACACGTCAGCCTTCTCCGTCAGCTGCCCGGCGGCCATATACTCGGGGCTCAGGTAACCCCACGTGCCCGCAATCCCTGTAGGGGTAGATCACAGAAAGTCACTTTTGGCTTGATTGCTTGAAAGACAGCTTTGAGATCGGGTTGGGTTGTTGGCTCCGCTAGGTCAAAGTACCGGCTGATTCTGTGGCTCGGTCGCCCCGGGAGTGTTTGCTTGGACTGTCGTGTAGTAGGCACCCGACGAAGACCGACAAGGAGACACTTCTTAGAGGTTGAGGGAAAAGGCCTCACCACAAACACGAAAGACGTGTGCCACGGTCAGATGCGTCGACAAGGATCAAGAGGTATTGGTTGAGAAGCGATTTAACCTAACCGCAGTGAAAAGTTCACCACGAGAATATTATCTGGCCATCAAATTGATCGAGACATGGTTGAGGGGGCCACAATTTCCTCTGAAGCAGATTTCTTCGACCGTAGGAACCATGATCGAAGCGACATCTCTCTCCTATCAGTGTTTAGACTGGTGCTCTATGCTCACCCGTGGTCACGTGCGTCTCGTCAAAAGCGGCCAGCCTCGCAAGACCAAAGTCGGCGAGCTTCGGCTCGAAAGTGGACGACGTCAGCAGAATGTTGCTCGGTTTGACGTCTCGGTGTATGATGCGGGGGGTGCACTCCTGGAGAGTTGAGGTACAAAGATTGGAGTGTGTGATCCGCACACACTGAAGGCACTTGATCGTTGCAGAAACAGGCCCGTGCTTGCATTCAACGGTCCTTGAAAGAACTTCGACAGACATCCCCTTTCCAGCTACGTCTGCTTCGCCTATCAAGCGTCGTTTTGCAAGCTAATCCTGGACAAGGCACAAGCCGCTTGTACCCCATTCGACCTGCAACAAGCTGACTTTAAGCGACACCTTGCAACCATGGGACTGAACTGAGAGCTGACCAAAGCGCGTCACTCGTTGCAGGTCAGCAGTCGAGCATGCTCAACAGATTTGGAAGGCGGTAACGTTCCTGCACGGCAATTCAAAAAGCGCGCTCTTTTTGCGGATTGCGACTTACATCGTGCAGATAAGCCAGACCGCTGGCAGTTCCCTGGGCGATCTTCAGGCGGGTGGGCCAGTCTAAGAAGCGGACGGTAATGCTTCTGCCCGGGCACCTCTGAGTGTCCGTATGAATTTCAAAGAGGTGATCCTCCAGGCTGCCTTCTTCCATTAACTCGTAAACAAGGCTGCAAGGATGAAAACGAGAGTCAGAGCACTCAACTTCTTAGCCCGCTTGATGCCAGAGCGTCTAGCCTTGCAGCTGACAAGGAAAGGGCGATACGAAGTTGGCAATTCTTTAACTTCCCAGAATCAAGGGTGCGCTTAGCTGAAAGGCTTCGCCGACACGAAGGGGGCAAAGCCGCAGGGCTGATAAGCTTCGAGCAAGCTTGGAAATACCTCTGGCCATTTTTCATTCCCCTCTACTGCCTGCAAAGGTTCATCTTGTTGCGGACAGGGAGACGCTCGGGTTGTCTGTGTCTCGACCTCCTGCTCTCCCTATAGATTACTGAGCTTGAACAGCATCTCGAGTATCGTCTTTGACAAAGAAAAGCTAGTACGCAGGAGAGATACAGACAAGGTCGATACTTTGCCAAGCGCTGATGCAAGCGCATAAAGCACAAATTTGTTCCTTCTTTCCAACGTACAAAGGTATTCCATGCGATTGAACGCTGTTGCTGACAAACTTCCTTCACCTGATGTGCGATCGATCGACGCAACATCCTTTGAGAACCACCAGGTTGCGGTGCCGGCAGCAGGCTAGCGTAGTAAGCTCGTTCCACGCTTCCTGCAATACGTGCATAAATCGAGGTTGATCGACCAACGGGAAAAGCACCGTTAACCAAGGCCTTTGAATCATGGTTACGTGAGCACTCTTTGCGTATTACCAGCCGGTTCGAGTTTGCGCTTCTCGGGCAAGATTGTGAACCCACACTTCTTGTGAAATGGTAAGAAACATGCCTCGAACTTCGCTAAGACCCGTACGCCGGGCATGTCCATACGGGAGGTTCTCTTGAACGAATTGAGCCTTCATACTCCCAGGCCTTAGCTGGAGCAAGATTCGGCAAAAAGAGTCCGAAGGAACATTTCTTCGCATAACCCGTTTGCTGAAAAGCGTTTGAATCCATGCTGACAATCAGGACCCTCTTGCACAAACCATCAAATAGCCTCGCAGAGTCGAGCTTGGGCCAGGACTGAAATATCCAGAGTCGCACGGACCAAAGTAAGAAAGAACACAAAGCTCCTGGCAATACAGGATGGATGCAACGGGGACATTCAACGTCGCTCGAAGCATGCCTGCAGATACCTTATGAAAACGCGCCAAGAACTTCGATGATCCAAAGCAATCCCGAAAAAAAGCAAAGCTCAACCACGTCCATTCTTACCTGCGCACCGCGTTTGCTGTTGCACGAATACAAGGCTTCCTTGATCGCCACTGCATGGCCTTTCAGCAGCCCCACATAGACCTTCCCTGAGCCGCCCTGGCCTATCAACGCGCTTTCATCGAAGTTGTTTGTTGCCTGCCGCAGCTGCCTCCGACTGAACACTTTGAGCCCTTTGTTGTTCGGGCTCCGTTTCAAGGACGCCATACGATCGAGCGTTTTCGCGTCCACCAGGACCGAAGAGCGCCGCCAGAAAAGTAACGCAAGACAGATAAACGCTACGACCGTTACAGCAATCGCTGTGCTTATGCCTGTAATGAGGCCGACGTTACGGCGGCTGCTCTTTGACCGGGGGCTCGGAAGGCTTAGCTCTAACCCCGGGGGAAATTGGTAGAAGCAATTCAGCCGGTCGGTAACATCTTCCATGGTTGAGAACCCGCCGAAGTATTGCGTCCCAAAAGTGAGCATGCATTGGTTGAGATAAGTGGTACTAGTGGTATTAGCCAGCTCCGCACCCAAGGACAAGAAGACCGGTACGCACTGGCTGCAATTGCTTGTAGCCGGATTGCACACAGCCTCTATTTGCTCATACACAGGAGCCGGGACCCTTTGCAGGATTGTGGTGTAGTTGTAACAACCGACGCCGTTAAGCAGAAGGGCAGGCGTTATCAGGCAGTTGTCCGGAACTGAAGGGGGGACTCCCCGGGCAGCGAGCTGCGCTTTGAACTCGGCTGCACATGCCTCGGCTTGGTCCTGCGATCAGAGAGATAAACATGAGTGGTTAAGTAGTGGTTACACGCCCTTTTACCAGACTCACTGCTGCAAAGTTGGCCAGACACCTGTTGGCCAGGTACGAATAGTTGAGCAACATTCCTGTAAGTGTTGCCGAAATCCGAAACCTTCTTCAAAGTTTCTGACAGGCTGGGAGCAAGCATGGCCGGAAGGCTCGGCTATATGAACGGTAGGCATCAATGGGTTGAGAGAAGCTGGGCCTGTCCGTCTAACTTAGACTTGCATGTAGGCCGGTCGAGACTGTTCTTTGCATCATCTGAGAAGGCTTCGTATTGAAGCATCGAGAAGCGAGAAATGCGAAAGAATCCGATACTTGCTTGAAGAAAGGCAGAGGGTGGAGAGGCGCTGTTGGAAAAGCGAATGCTCGTGCCTGGAAACGCACGTACATCTTCCATCATGTCGAAAGATCAAAGGACTGCTTGCAAGGGTCTCACTTTTCGTCCTGAGAATGCCCGTCAGCGTTGCACAAATCTTCCAATGAGAGAAGGTAAGAAGAGAGAGAGAAGGTCGAGGACCTGCTCGGAAACAACTCTATCGTTGTGTATCTCCTCCTTGCTCCAAGAGTGTGGAAGGGCACGTACCTCGACGAATCCGTGGCCCGTTTGGTTCAGATACAGCGAATGGACTTGGCCGTACATTCCCAGGATCATTTCACAGCAGCGGTCCGGCCGAACCTGCTGCGGTCCACAGCAGGGCACAACACCCGTGTACTCTATGGAATCCCAATCGAAGATGGTGCACTTTGGACGCTGAGGAACGGGCGTAATTTCGATCAGATGGAGGCAGCGTGCCATGCTGTTGGCGAGTGTGACGGGATACGCTGCTGCCGTCATTGCTACTTGAGCCAGATCTGCAGGATTTGGAAAGAAGCAAAGAGTTGGAACTGGTAAAGTCAAGCGACAAGGGGGAGGGTGTCCTTCAAGCACAAGTAACGCAAAAGTTGCTGCTTTTGACTATGTTTGGTTGTGCCTTGTAAAGTGCTTTTGATTGGTCCCGAGACCACTTAGCCAAAGATAACCAGGCTGGTCGTCTGACGTTCTTTGTGTAGGTTGTGACAACACTGTATCGACAGGGACATGATGTATGAGGTCGGGCTTGGTCGAGCTGGCTCACAAAGCTCTAGAGCCGCCATTAGAATCTCGAAAGCTCGCAAGAAACCGCCTGCCTCACTCTCGAAGTGGATAGGTTCACGGGGTTTTGCATGCAGATGCCACAGAAGTCCTGAAAAGCATGAGTGGGACTCTGGATCATGCAAAGGCATTTGTCACGCATCCACCGGGAATCATTGCCGTTCGCAGATTCTGCTTTCCATTTGACGGCTAGTGCCCCTTAAAATGGACAGAGTATTGGACACATGATAAACGATCTTATGCGTACATCAGGTGTTTTGGCTTTGACGTAGATTACCTCACCTTGACATGATGGCGTGCTGAGAAGGGCCGTGGTGCTGCGGCCCAGTGCCATGATCTCGGATGTGATGAGAGAGGTACAAACGCTGCAGTCCCTTTGCCCGTAGCAACTCGGACCGACCAGACCTGAACGGCAGGGCAGGTTCTTGAAGTGTGAGAAGGCAGAAGGTCGAACCTGAGACGGTGTGAGTGCACATGGAGACCAGAGGAACGAAGCTCATGAAGAGCAAGTCGCCTGGGACTTGCTGCTTTGTCGATTCTGGAGAAGGTACGTGATTACGGATAAGCAGGGTGACAGTCTAGCAGTGTATCTTCATCAAGCATGACCAGTTGAAAGTACGATGGCAGTCCACCTAGACCACAGCAGCTCAACTGAAGCCTGACGGAAGATGATGAATTGTGCACGTATCAATTGCAAACAGCACTTCGGATGGTGTGCACACTTGAAGTAACTGAAGCCGAAAAGCCTTGAATAAGTGACCAAGAAGTTGGGGCATACCTGGAAAGGTGCGGTCTGCAGCATTCCAGAAGTCATACACACTTGTAAGGTCCTCTCCGCATGCCCTCCCAGAGTCCTCTGACAAGGGCCTGCTTGTGATGCCGCAAGTACCAACGAGGGGTGTCTCAGCGAACGCCACGGCACTTCCAAGACTCTGCACCAGAGAAGCAAGCACTCTTTCAAAGCCCCTCACTCGTGCCTTAGCCATCTGAGGGGTAAGAGAAAAGTGATTGCTGAGGGTCACTCTGAGGTACCATACCGGGTGCATGCATTAGCTCAAGCTACCTGCATTTGCAGCAACATAATCAAAGGGGCAGAACATGCTACATCTGGAGATGGGCCTCACAACCAACGCAATGTTGACTTCTGCCAACTGAGACGGCGGCTCTGTCCACTTGAGCTATTCCTGGAAACTGATTCACGCACTTAGCCAGAGGCAGCCTCTAGTAACAAACGTCACTGCGTCCAAGTGCAACTTTTTTGCATTTGGACGCACTTGTGGATGTCCGCAAGAGGTCAAAGGAGAGCTGGTACCTGCACGCATGCATCAGCTGATGCTTGAGGCAGGAGTAAGCGCCCCGTGTCGTTGGCGTAACGGACCCTGGCCGAGAATAAGGTTGCCTGCAGCTGATTGCAGCAGCCAGAGCTGGCCCCTGTAAGGGAGACAAAGAGTGCCTGTGCCTTCATGAGCGGGAACAATGAGGAGCGTAAATGTAAGCGGACAAGAAGCTACTTCTTTGTAAAGACAATAATCTAGAAGCGACTAACAGCAGCTGATATTACCGGGTTAATATCAGCTGCTGAATTCAGCAAGCCTCAGCTGACGCATTGGAGCAACTTGTTGCTGACACAATTCTGCAGAATCCAAAAAACTAGCCCTGCTACAAGAGGTTCCTCAGGAAAGAGACTACAGTAAAGGTGGCGCATGCACATGGTAAGACTCAACATTATGAAGATCGGTCGAGGCATCACTGGAAAATAGCTGACAAGTAGACAACGTCTGGTAAAAGGGGTAACTTTCTTTTACCCAACGTGTCTGTCAAAGCCTTATTGCAACAACTGGAGGTGCTTGGTCAGTGCATACAGGCCTGAACTGTACACCTACAGGCTTGACAGAATTTCAAACCCCTCACCAGAGGAACAGACTTGCTTCGCTTGTTGGATGTCTGGCTCGTGGTAAGTCAGAGGGCATTCGCCAGGAGTAATGCCTGGGGGCTCTGGGGCCCCTGGCCGTGGCCATGTTACTACATAGTCTGCGCAGATTGTCTGAAGTAGACAACTCAAGGCTAGAATGAGCAGAAACGATGAGGCCAAACGGGGTCTTGCCAACATGTTGTTAGAAGTATGCAAGTTGCTAATAGAGACAAGAACTTTACCCAAGCTTCTACATCTCAAGCCTTCCTAGTCAAGTAGAGCCTCAAACATCAACCAGAACTCCAAGGGTATCTGCAGGACGCCCCAAATCTTAAAGCTTGCAGGGATGACTTCCTGGGGACTTCCTGCTGACGTATCTCATGGCTTCTGATTGGATTCTAATAGCCTCTGCTGCTGCAGAGTCCACTGGATCATGTATTCACGGGCTAGCTGCTTACTGCAATGCTCGTTGCTCTTTACAATGGCTCCTCCTCATTGCTCACTTTGATTTCCTCATTCCTCATTCTGACCGCTCATTCCTTGCTTTCTTGGTGCCGGAAGGAGCATTATGCATATTTATGGTGCAAACGAGTGATGATCATGTTGTCAGGTTTTGAGGAAACCTTGGCCAAACCCTCGGTAAGTGCACGGCGTGCGCGGGGCAAAAGCGGGTTTCAGGCAATATCCCCTATTGAATTTCGCATTGAACCACTGCTGTAAGTTAGTAGGGTTAGCTGGGGGTTAGGACGGGTCGGGCCGCCTCGCGGGCGGGCGCCTCTGCTGGATAATTCTCAAGAAAGATAATGGTAACTTAGTAAGGC